CCTATCAATTTCACTCCAGCATACTCCTTTTTTGTTGTTTTTCAACAATGTCCCACGCTGGCCTCCTATTCTGCCTCCACTTCCTCAGTGGTGGAATTACAGGTGTGTGCCTCTATACCGGCCTTACTACAAGGTTAAATACAAAGTCTTGAGCATGCTAGGCAAGTTCTCAATCACTCAGCTACATTCCCAGCCCTGTTGTTTTGTTTTGTTTGTTTTTGTTTTTTTGGTCCTGGGACTTGAACTCTAGGCTTGGTCGCTGTCCCTCAACTCTTCAGCTCAAAGCTAGCCACTTGAGTCACAGGGCCACTTCTGGCTTTTTCTGCTTGTGTGGTGCTGAGGACTCGAGCCCAGGGCCTCATGGACGTGAGGCAAGCGCTCCACCACTGAGCCAGCTGCCCAGCACACCAGCTGTTGTGCCTGTGTTGACTTGTAGCTCCACTGGAAGTCCCTTGACATCAAACTTACAGGCTGATCTCCTCCACTCCCTCCCCACAATACTGAACCCTCAAAACAAAAAGACAACAAAAACACACTTGTAGTTGCTCATTGGTTCATCTCCAGGGAAAAACACCCTGAAGACCACAGTAATAGCACAAAAGGGAGTGCTGAAGACTTCCACCCAGGTATGGCGCTGGCAGCTGAGAGCTGCTCTGGCAGGGCTGCCCTGGGCTTGCTCGCCGCTTCCCCCAGTGGACTCCCTGTGCCTTCAGTGACCCAGCGCTGTGCTGCCCTGCCAGCTGTGCTGCTGGCACTGGGCACTGGGCGCTGGGTTTCTGAACCCTGACCTCATCTTTTCACTTTTCACTACTTTTCACTGCTCTTTAATCCCGGAATCCCCAGACCCTCTCTGCCATTCTTGACTTCCATCACCTCCCACATCCAGTTAGGAAGGGGCTCTGGCTGCCTGTAATCATAATGCAAGCACTGCTCTTCCGTGGGTCACAGTGCTGCACCCCTGCCCCTCTGCACCTCCCACAGTGCTGCACCCCTGCCCCTCTGCACCTCCCACAGCGCTGCACCCCTGCCCCTCCACCTCCCACAGTGCTGCACCCCTGCCCCTGCACCTCCCACAGTGCTGCACCCCTGCCCCTCTGCACCTCCCACAGTGCTGCACCCCTGCCCCTGCACCTCCCACAGTGCTGCACCCCTGCCCCTCTGCACCTCCCACAGTGCTGCACCCCTGCCCCTCTGCACCTCCCACAGCGCTGCACCCCTGCCCCTCTGTACCTCCCACAGCGCTGCACCCCTGCCCCTGCCCCTCCCACAGCGCTGCACCCCTGCCCCTCTGCACCTCCCACAGTGCTGCACCCCTGCCCCTGCACCTCCCACAGCGCTGCACCCCTGCTCCTCCACCTCCCACAGTGCTGCACCCCTGCCCCTGCACCTCCCACAGTGCTGCACCCCTGCCCCTGCACCTCCCACAGCGCTGCACCCCTGCCCCTCTGCACCTCCCACAGTGCTGCACCCCTGCCCCTGCACCTCCCACAGTGCTGCACCCCTGCCCCTGCACCTCCCACAGTGCTGCACCCCTGCCCCTCCACCTCCCACAGCGCTGCACCCCTGCCCCTCCCACAGCGCTGCACCCCTGCCCCTGCACCTCCCACAGTGCTGCACCCCTGCTCCTCCACCTCCCACAGTGCTGCACCCCTGCCCCTGCACCTCCCACAGTGCTGCACCCCTGCCCCTCCACCTCCCACAGTGCTGCACCCCTGCCCCTCCACCTCCCACAGTGCTGCACCCCTGCCCCTGCACCTCCCACAGTGCTGCACCCCTGCCCCTGCACCTCCCACAGCGCTGCACCCCTGCTCCTCCACCTCCCACAGTGCTGCACCCCTGCCCCTGCACCTCCCACAGTGCTGCACCCCTGCCCCTCTGCACCTCCCACAGTGCTGCACCCCTGCTCCTGCACCTCCCACAGTGCTGCACCCCTGCCCCTCTGCACCTCCCACAGTGCTGCACCCCTGCTCCTGCACCTCCCAGTGCTGCACCCCTGCCCCTCTGCACCTCCCACAGTGCTGCACCCCTGCCCCTCTGTACCTCCCACAGCGCTGCACCCCTGCCCCTCTGCACCTCCCACAGCGCTGCACCCCTGCCCCTCTGCACCTCCCACAGCGCTGCACCCCTGCCCCTGCACCTCCCACAGTGCTGCACCCCTGCCCCTCTGCACCTCCCACAGTGCTGCACCCCTGCCCCTGCACCTCCCACAGTGCTGCACCCCTGCCCCTGCACCTCCCACAGTGCTGCACCCCTGCCCCTCTGCACCTCCCACAGTGCTGCACCCCTGCCCCTCTGCACCTCCCACAGCGCTGCACCCCTGCCCCTCTGCACCTCCCACAGCGCTGCACCCCTGCCCCTGCACCTCCCACAGTGCTGCACCCCTGCCCCTGCACCTCCCACAGTGCTGCACCCCTGCCCCTCTGCACCTCCCACAGCGCTGCACCCCTGCCCCTGCACCTCCCACAGTGCTGCACCCCTGCCCCTCTGCACCTCCCACAGTGCTGCACCCCTGCCCCTGCACCTCCCACAGTGCTGCACCCCTGCCCCTCTGCACATCCCACAGTGCTGCACCCCTGCCCCTCTGCACCTCCCACAGCGCTGCACCCCTGCCCCTGCACCTCCCACAGTGCTGCGCGGAGGCGCGCACTGGGTCACGGTCCTGTCCGCCGCCTGTGCGGGCTCGGCCCGGTCCCGAGGGTCCGAGGGTCCAGCTGTACCTGCAGTAGTCCGCGCGCCGGCCGCGCGCTCCGTAGGGTGTTGTGGCGGGGCTCGCGGCTCGGCCGGGCTGGGCCCCCGTGGGGCCGCGGGCCCGGCTCGGCGCTGGGCCGGGCGGCGGGCGGGGCCGGCGGCCCGTCTGACGTGTCTCGGCGGGATTGGAGCCGCCGCCCTATATAGTAGCCGCGGCCCGGGCGCCGGCCTCCGAGCGTCTCGGCTTCTCCCGCGCGGCGGCGGCGGACGGACGGTCGGCCCTGGGGCGGGCAGGCGGACAGACTCCGGGTGAGAACGGGGCGGGGGTGGGGGAGACGCGGGCGCGGGACCGGGCCGCGGCCGTGGGGTCCGGGCCGGCGCCGCCGTCGCGCCGGGCGGGGCCACTACGTGTCACACTGCGCATGGCCGCCCGCGCCGCCGCGCGGAAACTTTCCCAAGTCCGCCGCGCGCCCGCCGCGGGGCGCCGGGCCTGTGCGGGCGCCGGGCCGGGCGGGCCGGGCGGGGCGGGGGGGTCCGGGCCGGGTCCGCGCCCCCGGCCGCCCCGCGCCTTCACCTGCCGCCGGGCTACGTGGTCGCGGGCGGGGCCGCCCGACTGGAACTTGGCGGAGCCCCAGGGCGCGGGGAAAATAGACGACGGAAAAACACCGAATTTGGAGAGGGAGGCCGGGAGGGAGCGAGGGAGCGAGCGCGGCGGCAGTGCGCCCAGCGGCGGCCGGGCCCTTTAAGCCGCCCCGCCCGCGGCCCGCGCGGGGAGGGGCCGGCCCGTGCTGAGGTGGCATCCGCGGAGTTCCTCCCCGGCCGGGGCCGCCGCGGCCCGGCCCGCCGCCGGCCCCCTCGGGACCGACCGCAGCCCGCGGAGGCCGGCCGGCCCGCCCCCAGCCTTACCCGCCGGCCGGTCCCGAGCGCCTCCAGACGCTTCCGTGCCTGTGGTGACCGCCTGTCTCCCAGGCTGGAGCTCGCGGGAGGCGCGGGCCTGGCGCTGCGGGCCCCGAGGTGAGCGGAGACGTGGCCTGGGCGCAGCCGGGTCACGTGGAGGGGCCGGCGCGGCGCAGTGCGGGCGGCCGGCCGGCCGAGGTGGAGGTGGAGGGCCCGCCGCCGCCGCCGCCGCCGCTCCACCGCCCGAGTGCCAGGCGCACCTTTGCGCACCCTCACCCGAGTGAGTCCCCAAGGCCAGGTGGCCGCGCGCTCGCCGGAGGAGGGCCTCGAAGGTTCCTTCCCATGCTGTGATTTTATGACCTGATTTCCAAATCCCCCGTGGATTAGAAGGGACTGAAGGACTTGAACAAAGAAACTGCAAAGCTACTGAGGATTCTTAAAAAGACAGTAGCTCAAGGCTGGGAAGGTGGCTCAGTGGGAGAGCGCAGGCCTTGCGTCCATGAGGCCCTGAGTTCGAGTCCTCAGCACCACATAAGCAGAAAAAGCCAGAAGTGGCGCTGTGGCTCAAGTGGGAGAGCGCTGGCTTTGAGCTGAAGAGCTGAGGGCCCAGAGTTCAGGCCCCATGACCGACCAAAAAAGACACTAGTTCAGCCAGACACCGGTGGCTCACGCCTGTCATCCTAGCTACTCAGGAGGCTGAGTTCTGAGGATCACAGTTCAAAGCCAGCCCAGGCAGGAAAGTCCATGAGACTCTTATCCCAATTCACCACCAGAAAATTGAAATTGGCACTGTGGCTCTAGTAGTAGAGTGCTTGCCTTGAGCTGAAGAGCACAGGGACAGTGCCCAGGCCCAGAGTTCAAGCCTCACAACCAACACACACACACACAAAAAGAAGATCCTGGCCACTCTGAAAGCTTGAACATCTGACCAAGGTCCACATCCAGTTCTATGCCATAGCTAATACTACAGCCCAGGCCGCAGCCAATACCACAGCCCAGCCAGCTCAACGGACAAAGCTAGGTACTTTCAAGAAACATAGCTTAAACAGCAGGAGAAGCCCCCTCTCTTTTCCCCCTAATTCTTTTTTTTTTTAACTTCTGAATGGTTAAACTTAGAAGTTTTGGCACTTAGGGATTACTCACTTGCCCAGCTTCCTGGAAGAGTTGTCTTCTGAGAGTTAAAGATGTTTAGGTTTTGCTGAAGTGTGTTTTGTTTGAAGCTAATAGCCTAAGAGCAGAGATTTTGTTTGTTTTTCCAAGAGACTTACCTATGTATCAAGATTTGTAGCTGAAGTGTAAAGAAGATTTTGACCTTTTTTTGCTTGAGCAATAAAAGGATCTAAGAGTTGCAAAATTCAAATAAATAACTTTCCTATGGTTTTCTTTTTGTTCTTTTCCTTCCTATCCTGTACCAGGAAAAGCTGGCAGGCTGACAGAGGGGGCCTCCGGACGGACTTTCTGGCTATTGACCATTTTGCTGGTAAGTTTGACTGCCCTGCCCCAAAGATTTCCTGTGCCTAGAGTACAAGGATCTGTGTTTCCCTGGCCTGCTTAGAGCTCCTTCCTACATTTCATCTTCTATACCAGCACACAAGGTAAGATACCTGCCCTGAGGTCATGTCCTGGCTTCCTTTTGTTGGCAGTCTTTTTTTTTTTAAGTGAATTGCGTTTGTTGAGGATTATCCTGATTTGAATGTTGCTTTGCTTTATGACACTAGAGCTTAATTTCTGAATGTGGGGAGAGGTCTTACTGTGTTACAAAGGAGTAAGTTTTTCTGTTAAGGAAGCATGTATAAGATAATTGATGCAGGGCTGGGAAGGTGGCTCAGTGGTAGAGTGCTTGCCTTGCATGATCAAGGCCGTGGGTTTGATTCCTCAGCACCACATAAGCAAAAAGAAAAAAGCCGGAAGTGGCGCTGTGGCTCAAGTGGTAGAGCGCTAGCCTTGAGCTGTAGAGCTGAGGGACAGCACCCAGGCCCAGAGTTCAGGACCCACGACTGGACCCCAAAAAAAGATAATTGATGCATAATTGTGTGAAGAAAATGGTTTTCTTCCTCATTGTAGTTATACAAAGGTCACTTGAAACTTGAGGGGGAAAGAAGCTAAAGCCTCAAGAGCGGTGAACTGTGTTAGATTTACAAGTAAGGGAGCCTTTAGAACCAGTGGTGCCATTGAGCACTGAGGTCCTGAACTGAAGAGCTTTGTGCCTTGGGCCTGAGCTCCCTGCCTTTCTAAGGCCCTCCTGTACTTGGAGAGTAGATTGAGGGAAGTTAGCAGTCAGTATATGTCAAAGGCATTTCACCTAATACATAGGCCCGTTAGCACCACAAAACCTGTGAGGCTGCTACTTTCTGCCACTTCTAAGAATGGGAAAGGGTTCTCTTTAGGTCCTGAACATGTGGTAACAATGGTAGTATGATACTTTTTATAGTTAACCATCAGGAGGCATGTAGTAAACAAATCAAAATAACAGATTATCCAAGGGCCAGCGGCACACGCCTGTCATCCTAGCTACTCAGAGGACTGAGATACAAGCATTATGGTTCACAACCAGCCCAGGAAGGAAAATCCATGAGATTCTTTTCTCTTCTTTTTTTTTTTTTTTTTTTTTTTTTGGTCTGTGACTCACACCTGTGATCCTAGCTACTTAGGAGGCTGAGATCAGGAACACAGATCAAAACCAGCATGGACAGGAAAGTCTGTGAGACACTAATCAATCACAGAAGAAGCTGTGGCTTGAGTGGGAGAGTGCTAGCCTTGAGCAAAAGGAGCCCAGGGATAGCCCAGGCCCAGAGTTCAAGCCCCAGGACCAGAAAAAAATAAATAATCAAGGCTAAAGAGAGCTGGAGTATACTTAACCGCCAGAATGTTTGTCTTACAAGCAAGTTTAATGATCAGTACCACAACAAGAAAAAAAGAGAGATGTACTATGATCCTGGTGTTGACCTCTGCAGGAGCTGGGCTGGGAGCAGGTTCTGGTGGTCCAAGGCCCCTTGGGTGTGGGGGGTACTGCAGACTGTGTCACTGAGGCCCGTAGGGGTACAGACTCTCGGTGTTCCCAGTTACGGAGAGGTGGGTACACACTCTCACCCCTGAGCATCCTGACACTGAATCTCTTGGGCAAAGCCTTGTCTCCTTGGTCTCAGGCAAGGTTTGGTCGGTTAAACAACTGTCCTAAACCCTCTCCTACTTGGAATTCCCCGGCTTGTCCTCGTGGTCTCATAGATGTTGAGAGTTAGCTCTACTTGGGCTTGTCCCTGTTCTCTCTTTATTGCTACAGTGGCTTACCCGGACTGTGTGTGGTGTGACATCAACCATGAGCTCCGTTGCAGTTTTGACCCAAGAGAGTTTTGCTGAACACCGAAGTGGGCTGATTCCGCAGCAACTTAAAGGTGACAGTCCCTTTATGTGCTTTTCGTGCTGACTCTCAGGGATATAAAAATTGGAAGGGCTTGCTTGGGCTTGCCTTCCAGGGTTATGGCTGTGTAGAGAAGCAGAGCTCCTGGTAGGTGCGCTGCACAGGGGTCACCACAAAGAGCCTGCAGGATTGGGGGTCTCTGGGCCTAGTGACTTTTGGGGCCCTGTCCCATCACTGAATGAGTCAGAGGGGTCCATTTGTCACTCAAATACTTGAATTTTTAGTAGAGAGCTCCTATTAAAACCCTCCCATAGCACTTAAAGTAGGGCTTTCTTCCAAATCTATGTTGGTCTAGTTACCACCTTAAACTCAGAAGAAGAGAGTGACCCTCCAACCTACAAGGATGCTTTCCCTCCACTTCCTGAGAAAGCAGCTTGCTTGGAAAATGCCCAGGAACCTGCCGGAGCCTGGAGTAACAAGATCCGGCCCATCAAGGCCTCTGTCATCACTCAGGTAGCAAAGCCATCCCTTCTTACCCCTCTGTCCACATAGGAAACAGTAGTGTTTTGAACATGCAAAGATGTAGTTGCTTTGGGTATGTAAAGGGAGGGAATCTTCAGATAAAACCAGTTCCTCTGTCCAATATTCCTGAAGAGTCCAGATTCTGCTGTGCTTATCCTTTCTTCCTGACACCAGGAGGGCTGGCACACAGTTGAACGCTAGTTGTCAGATTCATGGGGCCCTAGTGCTATTGCACTGACTGCCAAACCAGATGTGAAACTCACTTAATCTATCCTGTGCTGCTGCTGTCTAAATCTTGAGTTCAGATTTTCTTATTTCACTAGCTATGAGATATGGGCTTCCTGTGAACTGATACCTGGATGTGGTAAAGAAATTGTCACCCATACATCAATAATTTTTCACCCCCTCTGTGCACAAGCAGGCACGTTTCAATCCTTGTACTGCAGCCTTTTAAAATGTGCCGCTGCGGGGGGGGGGGGGGGGGGGCTCATGCCTCAGACGAGGGTGGTGGATGGTGCTTCCATCCTTCCCCTCTCCCACCTATTCTCTATAAAATTCAGAGTCATTAAGCAAAACATGTCCTGGTTAAAAGCCTTTTGACTTCAACCTTAATGTGGGTAAGGGTCCTCTTTACCTGCACCCCACCCTCCACTTACCAGCCCGTTGCCCCTGCTCTCCAGCGTAAGTGCGGCTTTGTCGCAGGAAGGTCTTTTCTGGCCACCCTGGTGTCTTTCACCTAGTCGTTTGTTTCCCCTCTTCCCCACCCCTTCACAGGCACATGTTTGTGATGCTCCCTTCTCATTCATTTGTACAGTGGGTGTAGTTCTCTGCACCACAGGGTCAGTCTGCTGACCTTTTGTGCTTCTCCTGACTCTTACATTGCCCTGTCCTAAGACACTGCTTCATAAGTGAGTGACCAATGAATGCGTGTTCTTTACTGTTTATTGATCATCCTTGTTGCTCTTTATATTTTAATCTCACCTTTTCTGGTCTTTTCTGGGCAGGTGTTCCATGTACCCCTAGAGGAAAGGAAATACAAGGACATGAACCAGTTTGGAGAAGGTGAACAAGCAAAAATCTGCCTTGAGATCATGCAGAGGACTGGTGCTCACCTAGAGCTATCTCTGGCCAAAGACCAAGGCCTCTCCATTATGGTCTCAGGGAAGCTGGACGCTGTTATGAAGGCCCGGAAGGACATCGTTGCTAGACTGCAGACTCAGGTGGGTGTCCCTAGGCCAATACCAGAGCTTGTAGTAGAGCTGTGTTGCTGCCTCTGCCTGGTACACGCTAGAATTTCACTCGATTTTTCTTGCCAGTAGGACAGTTCAGTTCTTCATGGTTTAGAAAAGTGACATTTGGGGCTGGGAAGGTGGCTCAGTGGGAGAGTGCTTGCCTGGCGAGCGCTCTATCACTTGAGCCACAGTGCCACTTCCCGTTTTTCTGGTTAATTGGAGATCAGAGTCTCACAGACTGTCCTGCCCTGTGATCCTCAGATCTCAACTTCCTGAGTAGCTAGGATTACAGGCCTGAGCCACCACAACCCAGCTTTTAAACATATTTTGAATTCATATTTGCAATTTTTTCTATGAAATGCCTATTGTTTTGCTCATTTTCTGTCAAGTTTATTTTTCTCCATTTTCAGGAGCTTCTAAAAATCCCTTATCAGTCATAAAAATTATAAATTACTTATTCTCTTTAGACGTTGGATATGTTTTGCTATGTGATTGTTTTATTTTTATATAATTACTTTTTTTGCATGTGCCAATTCTGGGACTTGAACTCAGGGTCTGGTTATTGTCCGTGAACTTTTATTATTGCTCAAGGCTAGTGCTCTACTACTTGAGCCATAGCTTTCCTTCTAGCTTTTCTTTGGTAGTTAATTAGAGATAAGAGTCTCATGGACTTTCCCGCTTACGCTAGCTTCAAATCTGGATTCTCAGATCTCAGCCTCCTGAGTGGCTAGGATTACAGGTGGGAGCCACTTGTGCCCTGTAGTTTCATTGTCTCTAATTCTTTTCCTGGTACAGGCCTCCGCAACTGTTCCCATTCCAAAAGAGCACCATCGCTTTGTTATTGGCAAAAACGGAGAGAAACTGCAAGACCTAGAGCTAAAAACTGCAACCAAAATCCAGATCCCACGCCCAGATGACCCCAGCAATCAGATCAAGATCACTGGCACCAAAGAGGGTATTGAGAAAGCTCGCCACGAGGTCCTTCTCATCTCTGCTGAGCAGGTGAAGCTATTGGAGCCCTGTGCATTTGTCACCCTGTCACAGGCCTAGTGTAGTGTCTGTCTTTGACCCTGGAAAGCCTTTTCCTGCCTGGGTGTCCTCATCAGTCTCCCTGTCCTTTGTAGGACAAGCGTGCTGTAGAGAGGCTGGAGGTGGAGAAGGCCTTCCACCCCTTCATCGCTGGTCCATACAACAGACTTGTGGGTGAAATCATGCAGGAGACAGGGACTCGCATCAACATCCCCCCACCCAGCGTCAACCGGACAGAAATTGTCTTCACTGGAGAGAAGGAACAGCTGGCTCAGGCAGTGGCTCGAATCAAGAAGATTTATGAGGAAAAGGTACCATGTAAAGGAGTGAGAGCCAGTAGACAGGACTGTGCAGCAGGACTTACGTCTGGAGGCTTGGCTAAGCCCTGTTCTGCCTCTCCTCTTATATCTCTAGTGATTAGATGTTGGTGTCCACACTTCCTTCTGAGCTGCTGAATGCCGGGCACATCTCAGATCTTCTCCCAGGCCTCCAGCCAGGCTAGGAGCTTGCTGCCTGGGTTGTCATAGGGGTTATACATACAGCGTAAAGCCGTTCATCTTTGCTTAAGCTGTTAGCTCACATTGGTCATCACTGAGGTCTGGACCTTGTTCTTTAATTTAGGGGACAAAGTTGAAGTTTCAAAGTCTTCCAGATTGACTTCAGGGAAAATGTAATCCTTGGGAAGTGGAGAGTCTCTAGGGAGGCTAGTCATGTCTTCATTTTTGGGGATTAGCTCTGTTGTCAGTGTCTCATCTGGCTTACTTCCTCCTCTGTTGGCAGTGACATTCTGCTCCCACTGTCTGCCTCCCATGTCTTTCCTGCTGATTGTCCTTAATGCTCTTCATTAGAAAAAGAAGACCACAACCATTGCAGTGGAGGTGAAGAAATCCCAGCACAAGTATGTCATCGGGCCAAAGGGCAATTCATTGCAAGAGATCCTGGAAAGAACTGGAGTTTCTGTTGAGATACCGCCCTCAGATAGCGTCTCTGAGACTGTGATACTGCGGGGCGAGCCTGAAAAGTTGGGGCAGGCATTGACTGAAGTTTATGCCAAGGTAGCCTTTCCCCCTGGGGAATACACCATTTTGATGAATTTCTGGGGCCTTGTATGAGCTGACTCTTATTATATCCCGTGGGCCTGGATGCTCACCTCTCGACTTGAGGTGAGCAATCTGGCCTTTGTTTAGCATAACCTTGAGTTCCACAAACCTAAAGTCTATTGTCCTGTTTGTCCTAGGCCAATAGTTTTACAGTCTCTTCTGTGTCTGCCCCTTCCTGGCTTCACCGGTTTATCATTGGCAAGAAAGGGCAGAATCTGGCCAAAATCACTCAGCAGATGCCAAAGGTAAGGAAACATTTCAAGTCTACTGTGTTAAATTTGGTATTTTATTGTTGCTATTTGTCCTTGGAATGCTTTTAAAGATAATGCCACTTTCTTAATCTGTTATTCTCCTGGACATAGCCAGTTTCTAATACTAGCGATAGGAGAAGAGAATAACTTTGTAGGAGCATACGCTATTTAGCCTTTTGTTTCCAGGTGTGGTATATGACTTTAGAAACACGATAGGACTGCTGGTTTAACATCCTGGTAACCATGCCTTGCACACCGTCTGTCCTCACTTCCCTGCACACAGGCTGTGTTAGACAAAGGTTGGGTGGGTCTCCTCACCCTCCACCTTGCTGTCCTTACTCCAGGACAGACGTAGCACCCCAGGAAACTGAGCAGAGAGGAAGCTGCTCAGATTGCGTTGTCTTCCGTGTTTTCGTTTCTGTCCTGCAATCAGTGTCCTCCCACCTGATTTGATTTTTTAGCTTCAGAGTCCTGGTGAGCTACTCTACCTTCCTGCCTTCCAGACCCTTGGCATGCACATTATAAATCAGACTTTGACAGGTGACAGGGAGTACTTCAACCACTTTGGACAGCTCTACTCATTTTAAAATTTCATCCCTGACATTTTTTTCAAGGTTGTTTATGCCTTCTAGGTTATCTTTTGTGCTACCCAGGCTTGTTTTGGACCCTCTGTCCCCTTGCCTCAATCTTTTTTTTTTTTTTGGGGGGGGGGTCTGGACATGGGGCCTGAACTCTGGGCCTGGGCGCTGTCCCTCAGCTCTTCAGCTCAAGGCTAGTGCTCTACCACTTGAGCCACAGCGCCACTTCTGGCTTTTTTCTTTTTGCTTATGCCTCTGGCATGCAAGGCATGCGCTCTACCACTGAGCCACCTTCCCAGCCCGTGCCTCAACCTCTTGAGTACTAGAATTACAAGTATATACCACCATACCCAGCTCTCCTTTTTTTGTTTCTGTTACCTCCCTGTTTCAGCCAGAGAGGAGTTGGCCTTCCAAAAGTGAAATATGAAAATGGCACACGAGCACATGAATAGTGAGTGAAGTCCATGTGCTTTAGTCGGTGATTGTGAGGTCAGCCGCAGCCTGAGACTTTGACGTGTCTGTTCTGGGTGTATCCCAGCAAAAGGAAAATCTATCAGACCATAATAATGCTTAGTGCCAAAATCATGCCGCTCCCTGAGCCGTCCCTCGTCCCTCGCAGCCCTCCACAAGGCAGTGGTTGTGATCCTCCTTCTTGGCATTTGTATGTAGCAGTTTGGGGTCAGCTTCCTTCCACAGCAGTCTGGGACAAGCAGCGCCCCCGAGGCTCAGGCTGCTGCCACTGTGCCAATTGGCCTTCGCTATTCATTTTCTCATTTTGGTGTGGCAGGTTCACATTGAGTTCACAGAAGGTGAGGATAAGATCACCCTAGAAGGTCCCACGGAGGACGTGAATGTGGCTCAGGAGCAGATCGAGAGCACAGTCAAAGACCTGGTAAGTGCCTGTTCCAGCCATAGGGAAGGTGCTACTGAGCTGAGGACAACTGGAAGCCTTGTTGGGTGTCCATGGGCTCAGGACTAAAAGGCGGCCTTGCTGCCCAGTAAGAGGGTCTTAAACAGCTTGAAGCTAGCTGATATCCCAGAGGGTCTGTGAAGTGCTAGAGGAGCGATTTTGAAAAACCTGTGTCAGTCAAGGTGGAGTAACGTCTTCTGGATTTGGGGGTCTGGCTCCAACCCCAGCACTTGTCTGCTGACCCGTCTTTATGCTCCTCCCACAGATTAACCGGATGGACTATGTGGAGATCAACATTGACCACAAGTTCCACAGACACCTCATTGGGAAGAATGGAGCCAACAGTGAGTGAGGCTATGAAGGGTAGTAGGTGGGGCTCGCGTGTGGTGAGCAGGGCTTTCTGAGATTCTGAGGAGGCCTTCACTTCGAGTCAGAAGCTGCAGTCACAGCAGCCTTCTTCGCCTGCCAGGAGAGGCCTATTTTCCTTTTAATGCTTTTAGGCCTATCAGAGAGCTGTCACTTTGAGAAATCAACCTAATCCACCCTCCCTGGAAGACCGCAGGGGTATGTAGTAGGCACACCAAAGACCCTTAATCTCAGCCAGACTTACTCTCAGACCCACTAGTGTTTGTAGGCCTCTCTGTGTCACTTCCCAGTTCAGAGAGGAATGCTGTTGAGTGAGCTCAGACTCAGCTTTTTGACTTGTCAAATTGTAGGGACAGCGTAGAATGGGATATCTTTGGATATGTGTTCAGTGAATACTCACTTGCTGTGATCCAAGTGTGTTCGTTTGTCTTCTGCAGGGAATTGAACTCACAGCACTTTGGGTTTTGTTTTTTGTTTTATCAGTCGGGCTTGAATCTGGGCCTGGGCACTGTCCCTGAGCTCTTCAGCTCAAGGCGAGTGCTCCTCTACTTAAGCCACAGTGCCACTTCCAGTTTTCTGGTGGTTAGTTGGAGATAAGAGTCTCAAAGACATTCCTGCCTGGGCTGGCTTTGAACCGTGATCCTCAGATTTCAGCCTCCTGAGTAGCTAGGATTACAGGCGTGAGCCAACATGTCCAGCTGCATTCTGTTTTTTTGAGACAGGCTTTTGCTGTGTGGCTCAGAGTGGCCTTGAGCTCCTAACCCTTTTTTCTCCTGAGTGCTGGGATTACAGGTGTGAGCCACTATACCCCGCTCCAGTGATTCTTCTTAACATTTCCTCTGTTTAACTGCATAGCCATATGCACATGCATACATATCACATGCTTAAGTATTGTAGAAACAGCTTTACTTCCTGTATAGGAGGGCCAGCACTACTGTTTATGGGTTGTTCAGCCAATGAGGATCCTTTCTACGCAGTCTGCTTTGGTCACAAAGTACTCCTTGGTGTCTGAGTGTGTCCTCTTCAGGGACGTTTTCATGATAGGTACAAGAGTGGTCCTCATCAGTGCTTGATTTCAGGCACTCCTCAAACCATGCACATGCCATGACCTTGCTTTGTGGTTTTGTTTCTTGCATCAGTTAAAATAAAAGTGGAATAGTACAGATCAGACATGATTTCTGATTTCTACTCCTTGTGCATTGCAGAACCTCTGAGCGTAGCATGGTCATAGAATTCTCTTTGCTCTATTTTCTTATGATCCAGTTCCCAACCTCATTTCGTCCATAATCTAAGATCTACTCCCTGCCCCCAACACTTTTGGCTTTTGCTGTTTCTTTCCCTGTGTCATGTCAGTCCCTGTCCCAGATTGGAGTATGCACTGTTTAGAGTAGATGCATAGCCCCACCCTTCTGAGGAAACCTGCTTTTCTTACTATATAATGGGCATGCACTTTCTTCATTTCCTAGGGAAAAACTGGAGTTTGGGGGACCTGCATTTTGATCATTGGTGTCAGATTCTTTCCAGAGAACGTGGCAGGAAGAGAATTTGAAACTCCACTTGTTTTGCACACAAAGTGTTCAGTTTGATCAGAGCTGACAGTAACTGAGTCTTGACAGCAGCTTGGTTTCCACATATTTTTCAACAGTTATTTAGGCAATCCTGTCTTGAGTTAATATCTGTAATGTTTTGCCTCATTTGTAGGTTACATTAGTACAAACAAGTTTGAGTGCTATGATTGAGGTTTAAAAAAAGTATCTATACTTACTGTACATGTTAAATATATATAATATATATTATATTGGAATCTTTATTTAAAGTTCCAACCACATGCAAACCAGCTAACTTTCAAAACTACTCAGTCCCAGACATCAGTCATTCGAAGCTCTCAGGGCAGTGCCAACTTGTAATCAAGGCTAAGAGCCAGTGCCCTCAAAACCTTGTAGTACCTTGAGGAATATAACCAGTTCTCATTTTAGACAGTGCAAAATCCTGTCTTGGAAACTTTTTTATTGATGCGTATGACTGATTAGGGTAGTTGAAGGCTGGCTCTCCTGGCTGGCTGTCATTGGTGGACCATCATAGCCTCTGTGCCCAAGATGTGCTTCTTTTGTGTCCTAAGTCAACAGAATCAAAGACCAGTACAAGGTGTCCGTGCGCATCCCTCCTGACAGTGAGAAAAGCAACCTGATCCGCATTGAGGGCGACCCACAGGGTGTGCAGCAGGCCAAGCGGGAGCTTCTGGAGCTCGCCTCTCGCATGGTAAGCCAGCATCCAGGTCCTGCCAGCGAGGTACAGGTCTTTGTCTGTTGGCTGCTTCTTAAGGCAGCTGTGTTGAGGTATGTGGCCTAGAGCGTGGGAGTTACCAAGTCCCACATGGTTGGGCTTACTGGGGCCACATTTCTAGAGATTAAGATTTCACAGTGTTGTGAGACAGTGATACTTAAAGTCAGAAACAGATTTTAACATTCACAAGGCAAATTGTCATTATCTATAATGTTTGTGAATTCTGTGATCTTCCACATCGGGTGATAAGTACATTTCTTTCCTTTTGCTTAGTGTCAGCTGTTCCCTCTTTCCCTCCCTCCCATCGCGGCCCTTGAGTTGCTTAGCTTGTTTTCATCAATGTCCAGTGCAGCTGATGGGCCCCTCTGTTGTATTACTTCCCATTTCCCTCTGATTCTGTGCCCTCCTCCTAGCTTCCCTCAGACGTGCAAATAGATAGATAGACACATAGATAGATAGACAGACAGACAGATATACATACCATATCTGTGATTAAGAACCTGGAATCATTTAGAAATGTTATGACATCTGGGCGCCAGTGGCTCACACCTGTTATTCTAGCTACTCAGGAGGCTGAGATCTGAGGCTCTCCTATTAAGCACATGAAAAGTGGTTCTGTGGCTCAAGTGGTAGGGCGCTCACCTGGAGCTGAAGAGCTCAGGGACAGCACCCAAGCCCAGAGTTTAAACCCCACAACTGCCAAAAAAAGAAAGAAAGGAAAGAAGGAAAGAAAGAAAGGAAAGAAATGATAGGACACATTCAGCGGAGTCCTTTGCTGCTCGAGTCCTGTTTACTTTGTCGTATCTCCATCCATTTTGGATGGCCACATTTCTTTTGCCTCCCAGATCACCAGCATGTCTTTCCTTTGGCCCTGAGCAGTAGAGAAGCACAGTGGTACCCAGGTCCCATGTGACCTGGTTGCCATTGCCACAGGCGATGATAACATTCCTGGGCTCTGAGCCAGAGCACTCTCATGTGGCCGGACTTGAGACTCAGTAGTGCCACTCCTGAGTCAGGCTGTTCCTCACTCTTCAGACCTAGGTTTTCTTTATCCTAGGGCCTCTTGTCCTACAGGGTTTTCTGCCTGCACTGTACCATTCATTTCTGTCATCCAGATGTCAATCTGACCACCGGAATTCTGCAGAACTTTTGATAGACTGGTCATGATATTCCCTGGGTTCTGCTTTGCTTTTTCTTCTGATGTTTTAGTGGGACTCTCAGAGGAGACCACCCGTCCAGTGCCCCATGTTGGATGAACCATTCTTTCTTGATTACCCACTCGGGGAAGTTGGGTTCAGGCGGCAGGGCCCGTATGGACAGTGCTAGACTCACTCCATTCTGAGGGAGAAATACTGTCGGGGTTACTTTGATGGTCACTATTGGGACAGCACTTTCAGCTAAAAGGCCCTGTACTTTGTTCAGGAATATAACACATACTGAATGCAAATGGAGATTTGGTGTATGTAGTGTTTGGGGGTGGAGCCAGTGTTTCCTAGTGGTTTTTCTAATGGCTACCCCAACAGTGGTCTCTGGGTTCCCGCTATCTCCTGGTGATAGGGAGTCTCCCTCTACTTGTGATAATAGAATCATCTACTTTAATTATATTTTTAGGAAAATGAGCGTACCAAGGATCTAATCATTGAGCAAAGGTTTCATCGCACAATCATTGGCCAGAAAGGTGAAAGGATCCGTGAAATTCGTGACAAATTCCCAGAGGTAAAAGATTGCCAAAGGCATTCTTTTTTTGTTCTTGTTTTAGGTGGGGCTCCCCTGGATCGTTTCACCCAGCAAGCTCTCTACCAAGCCAAACTATGCCTCTAACCCCAAGGGTTTATGTGATTTCTTAGGAGTAAGCTCGTTTGTCCTTTAGGAATGTTCCTTTTTTTTTGTCAGTTGTGGGGCCTGAACTCGACCTGGGCGGTGGGGCCTGAACTCGGCCTGGGTGCTGTCCCTCAGCTCTTCAGCTCAAGGCCAGCACTCCATCACTTGAGCCACAGCACCACTTCAGGCTTTTTCTGCTTATGTGGTGCTGAGGAATTGAACCCAGGGCCTCATGCATTTGAGGGAAGCGCTCTACGAGACACTGAGCCACCTTCCCAGCTCTAAAAGTTTATTTAATTATATGTGTAATTATACAAAGGGATTTCAATTCAGCATGTTAGTTTGTGAGTATAATGCATCTTGATCAGTGTTATCCCTTTCATCCTTCTCCCCTACCTCTGTTAGTATTTTGGAACCCAGGCCTGATAATCAAACTCATTCTCCTGATTTGTTCTAGGTTATCATTAACTTTCCAGACCCAGCACAAAAAAGTGACGTTGTTCAACTCAGAGGGCCTAAGAATGAGGTGGAGAAATGCACAAAATACATGCAGAAGATGGTGGCAGACCTGGTACGGGTTTGGTGCAACCCTTTGTGGGGCATGCATCCCATGGGAGCTCCTGGCTCAGGAGCTGTCCGGTCTGATAAGGACAGTGCTAACCAAGTAAAATGAGGAGTCATGTATTGATTTAACATATTCTTCAAAAACTGAAGTAGAAAGACAAACAAAAGTATAGTCCTAGAGTTCAGGAGGCAGAGGCAAGGGGGTGGTGAGTTGAGGCCATCCTTATGTACAGAGTGAGCTCCTGTCTCAGAAAACACGGAGTAACAGAACAAGAGGGAACCATGCCAAGATCTAGAAAGCATGAAGTAGAGGTTACTGGAAAGGCCACAGCTTGCCATGTGTCCTGCCACGTGTCCATGATCCTCAGAGGAGGCTTCACTGTACCAGTAAGCCTGCCTCGAGAGAGAGGAGGTGGCCAGGGGCTCTAGCAGTACGAGGCTCTGTGTTGGTTTGATGGGTGTTCTGAGCCCCTTCCTTGTTAAGCTGTGGTCCCGGCCTGTGGCATGATTCCTTGAGCCAGAACAGTTTCAGGGTGTGTGGCTAGACTTAATGCCTTCTGGACTGTAGAAGATACATCTACATTTTCTGTGACTCTTCATAGAGGGCCTTTAAGTTGACTGACATTCCACCAAATTAGTCAGATGTTGGACAACATAATGATGTCTGTCCCCATGACAGACCTCTAAAGGTCAAGTTGATGGGAAGAAAGGCTCATAGCTTCGAGTGTCTGCTGATACTGGTGCCCTGTCAAATTCATGCTGCTTCAGGGGTGGAAGACTTTACTCTGTCATGGAGGGTTAATTTTGTTATCCTTTTGTGTTTTTAAGGTGGAAAATAGCTATTCAATTTCTGTTCCGATCTTCAAGCAGTTTCACAAGAACATCATTGGGAAAGGAGGTGCAAACATTAAGAAGGTGACTAGCTCACCCCTCGTCAGTGCCTTTTAACCCCAGCAAGGGCCCTGAGCCATCTCCTCATAGGTGGAGAGGAGGTATGGCCTATCCTCAACCCAGTGCTCAGGCCTAGCTGCTGTGGTAAGCCTCTGCTCTTCGTATTTGGTTCCCTACATGCAGATTCGTGAAGAAAGCAATACCAAGATTGATCTTCCTGCAGAGAACAGCAACTCTGAGACCATTGTCATCACAGGCAAGCGAGCCAACTGTGAAGCTGCCCGGAGTCGTATTCTGTCCATCCAGAAAGACTTGGTAATGACGGACAGCCTTGACCACTTCCTGTGTTATAAAATAGTAGGGCCTTTGGTTCCAGCCATGCAGGGCCTTTGGGCTGCCATGGGCTCCTACGAGCCCTGCCCCGGTGTAAACCCGGGGGTGCTGAGCAAACGGTCAGTAGCTCTCTGCCATTTGTCTACCACGCTTATCTTCTTGGCCCACAGCAGTGTATTTGACCCAGTGCTGGTTCTGCGAGGTATTTAATAATATCTGAAGTTTGGTGGTTTTGGTATGTGTGTGGTAAGTGTAGAATAATTCTCACGGCCAGTCTGTGGTTTTCCATCACCCCCAGTGGGCTCTGGCTCATGTATCTGTCCTGGCTCCCCACACCTACAGGTGGTCCATATCTGTCTTCACTCTTAGAAGCGTGTGCGAGTTGTGAGTATAGTCATGATGTGTGAGAACACATCATGAAATCTCTTCATGCTGTCGTGTGTGTTGTACTGTGTTCTTTTTACAGGGTGGTGTTTAATGTGAGGATAATCCATCTACTTAATATGCTTGGTATTATTTAATATGCTTGGTATTATTGGGCTTTTGGGAGGGAGTGGGGGAGGTCCTCTTTCATCCAGATTGTCAAGTTTATTAACATAAAGTTTTTTTTTTTTTGTTTTTTTTTTTGGTCGTGGGGCATAAACTCTGGGACTGGGCGCTGTCCTTGCACTCTTCAGCTCAAGGCAAGTGCTCTACCGCTTGAGCCACAGGGCCACTTCTGGTTTTCTGGTGGCTTTTTGGAGAGAAGAGTCTCATGGACTTTCCTGCCCGGGCTGGCTTTGAACCATGATCCTCAGATCTCAGCCACCTGAGTAGCTAGGATTACCAGCATGAACCACCAGCTCAACATAAAGTTTTATAATATATTTCCACATTATTCTTACTGTCCATGCTGCTTTTGCCTCTTGTTTGTGGTGAGAAATCTGTCATTATTAAATGTCTGACCTCCTTGGTGGTCACACCTATAATCTGAGCTACTCAGAAGGCTGAGATCTTAGGATCTTGGTTGAAAGCTAGCCAGGGCAGTAAAGTCCTTAAGACTTATCTCCAGTGAACTTAAAAAAAAAAGAGAGGTCAGAAGTGTAGCTGTAGCTCAAGTGGTAGAATACTAGCCTTGAATACAAAAGCTCAAGGATAGCACCTAGTACCTAGTCCCTGAATTCAAGCCCTAGGACCAGCACCTCAAAAAACAAAACAACAACAACAAAAACCTTCTTTTATATCCCTCATAGTATTCTCTGGAATAAAATTTGCTATTTGTTACTGGGCGCTGGTGACTCATGCCTGTAATACTAGCTACTCAGGAGTCTGAGACCTGAGGATCCCAATTCAAAGCAAGAAGGTCTCAGACTCTTACCTTCAATTAACCACCAGAAAACCAGAAATGGCACTGTGGCTCAGCATGGTGGAGTGCTAGTCTTAAGCAAACTTTGCTCAGGGACGGCGCCCAGGCCTTGAATTGCAAGCCCCAAACCGACATTTTATTTTTAATTTTTTATTTTTGTATTTTCTGGTTTTAAGGTTTCTTTTCAGGAGCTTGCTTTTTCTTTTTCTTTTTTTTTTTGGTCCAGTCGTGGGGCCTGAACTCTGGGCCTGGGTGCTGTCCCTCAGCTCTTCAGCTCAAGGCTAGCGCTCTACCACTTGAGCCATAGCACCTATTCCGGCTTTTTTTTTTTCCTGTTTATGGGTGCTGAGGAATCGAACCCAGGGCCTCATTCATGCAAGGCAAGCGCTCTACCACTGAGCCACCTTCCCAGCCCAGGAGCTTGCTTTTTCTAATGGAAGCTTTTTTTTTTGTCGGTCATGGGGCTTGAACTCTGGGTTTAGGCACTGTCCTTCAGCTCTTCAGCTCAAGGTAAGCGCTCTATCACTTGAGCTACAGCACCACTTCCAGTTTTCTGGTGGTTTATTGGAGATAGGAGTCTCATGGTCTTTCCTGCCCAGGCTGGCCTTGAACCATGATCCTCAGATCTCAGTCTCCTGAGTAGCTAGGATTACAGGCGTAAGCCACCATTGCCTGGCTAATGAAGCTAGTTTTAACTGATATTTGCATCGAATTATATTTGCAATTTGGCATATTACACATACACTTAGTATATTTAACAAATGTGATTAAACTGCATTTATTGCAGTCTCTCCATATTTTTATTTTTTTAATTCTTTATTGTAAAGATACTATACAGAGGGTTACAGTTACATGAGTAAGGTAATGAGTACACTTCCTATTGAGCTTTGTTACTCCCTCCATTGTTTTCCCCCTACCATCCCTTCCCTCCCTACCTTCCCCGAGGTTCTTTTTTTTTTTTTTTTAAATTGTGATTAAGTGATTACATAATTTCCCAAATTTCACAGTATTGTGGAATAATGATGCTTATTTAAAGTCACAAGTTCATTCTAACTTTCCTGGAGCAAATTGTTTATCACAGTGTATAACAAACATATAACGGTGTACACATATACACCATACATGTGATCAGCAGCATGGGGATATTTACTAGTGGTTCAACCAGATGAATGGGAGTTCTTTGTTTTTTCTTAAGTCCTGTTAGTTTTGTCCTATCACCTAACATTTTGGATTTAGCATCCGCTTACCAGGGAGACCATGTACCATTTGTCTCTTTGCTCTTGGCTTACCTCGCTCAACATGATTCCTTCTAGCTCCATCCATTTCCCTGCAAATGCCATTATTTTGTCATTTCTAATGGCTGCATAATATTCCATTGTGTATAGATACCACAATTTTTGGATCCATTCATCTGTGGTGGAGCATCTGGGTTGTTTCCATATCCTAGCTATTGTGAACAGTGCTGCAATAAACATGGAGGTGCACGTGTCCTTGTATATTGGTTCCTGTTGTTCAGGGTAGATGCCTAGAAGTGGTATGACTGGATCGTAAAGGAGGTCAATCTTTAGCTTTCTAAGGACCCTCCAGACTGCTTTCCGAAGGGGTTGTATAAGTGTACATTCCCACCAGCAGTGTAATAGGGTTCCTCTTTCTCTGCATCCCCTCCAGCATTTGTCGTTGGCTGATTTGTGGATGTGGGACATTCTGACTAGGGTAAGGTGGTATCTCAGGGTTGTCTTTATTTGCATTTCCTTCACCACCAGGGATGATGAACATTTCCTGATGTATTTCTTTGCCATTTTTATTTCTTCATTTGAGAAGTCCCTCTTTAATTCCCTTACACATTTAGTAATTGTTTTGTTAGGTTTGGGAGGGATTGGTTTCTTGAGTTCCCTGTATATACAGGATGTTAACCCCTTGTCTGATACATTGCTGGTAAATATTTTTTCCTAATTAGTTGGTTGTCTTACTAGCTTAGTTGCGATAGATTTAGCTGTGCAGAAGCTTTTTATTTTAAGGTAGTCCCATTTGTCGAGTCTCTCTCCAATTTGTTGTGACCCTGGGACTCTGTTCAGGAAGTTCCTTCCTGTGCATATTTTTATTTTAGTAAGATATGCTTAATAGAGTGGACCATGATAACTACCTTTTTTTGTTTTGTTTTGTTTTGTTTTGTTTTTGTTTTTGCCAGTTGTGGGGCCTGAACTCTGGGCCTGGGCACTGTCCCTCAACTCTTCAGCTCAAGGCTAGTGCTCTACCACTTGAGCCACAGCACCACTTCTGGCTTTTTTTTTTTCCTGCTTATATGGTGCTGAGGAATTGAACCCAGGGCCTCATGCATGCAAGGTGAACACTCTACCACTGAGCCACCTTCCCAACCCAACCACCAGTTTTTGTACTACTGATTGCTTTAGTCAAGTTGCACAATGTACCCCAAGTGATTTTTGTGCCAGGTTCTACCCCTGTTCCTGACTTTGTTCCCAGTTCTTGCCTTTAAGTCCATGTGTTAACCACACCCACAGTAGTTTGTTCATGGTTATTTATATAATCTAGGGTTTGCCATTCTGGAGTGATTCACTCCCTTGTGTGATGTGTAGTCCATTTTCCCCATGTCTGAAGGCTCCTTGTGAGGTGTGTGTGGTCTTACTTACCTGTTGGTTTATTGTTTTTCTCGTGTTTGTGCACATGTGCTCACACATGTGCTAGTGTTGGACATTACACTCAGCACCTGGGTGCTGGCCCCTTAGGTTTATTGCTCAAGGTTGGCACCCTACAACTTGAGTCACAGCTCTACTTCTGGCTTTTTTGCGGGGGCGGGCAGTCCTGGGGTTTGAACCAGGGCCTAGGCACTGTCCCTAAGCTGCTTTTGCTCAAGGCAAGCATTCTACCACTTGAGCCACGGTGCCACTTCCAGCTTTTTCTGTTTATGTGGTACCGAGGGATCATGCATGCTAGGCAAGCACTCTACCACTACATTCCTAGCCCCACTTCTGACATTTTGATGGTTGAGGTAAGAGTCTCATGAACTTTCCTGCCCAGTATGGCTTGCAGGCCTGAGCCACCCATGCTGTACAGGTCTCTGTCACCAGCTTTAAACATGTTCGGATGTGTCTTTGTGTTTCTTAGAGCTACTTAGATACGTAGGTCTCAAGTTTTGAATTTTCATCAAATTTTAGTTGCTAATTTCTGGGCTGTTTTTGTTGTTTCTTCTCTGTATTTCTGTCTCTCTCCCTCTCTCCCTTTCTCCCTCCCTCTCCCTCCAGCCCCCTCCCCTTCTTCCTATCACTTTCCCCCTCCCCCCTCGTTTTCTTTTTGTTTTTGCTGGTCCTAGGGCTTAAAATCAGGGCCTTGGCACTGAGTTTTTTTATTCAAGAATAGTGCTGTACTTGAGCCATAGCTTAGCTCTACTTCTGGCATTTTGGTGGTTAATCAGAGATAAGGGTCTCAACCATGCGCGCTGGTAGGTTACTCCTGTAATTCTAGCTGCTCAGGAGACAGATCTGAGGATCTTGGTTCAAACCAGCCTGGGCGGGAAAGTCTGTGAGACTCTTCCATTAACCACCAGAAACCAGATGTGGCTCTGTGGCTCAAGTGATAGAATGTTTGCCTTGAGCTGGAGCTCAGAGACAGTGCCCAGGCCCAGAGTTCAAGCCCTACAATCGACCCCCCAAAAAAGGAAAAAGGACCTGTCCAGTTGCACTTTTGGAAGCGGTGCTGTTGCTCAAGTGGTAGAGTGCTTACCTTGAGCTGAAGAGCTCAGGTACAGCACCCAGGCCCAGAGTTCAAGCCCCAGGGCCAACGACAACAACAAAAAGTCTCATATAGCCGGGGCGCTGGTGGCTCACGCCTGTAATCCTAGCTACTCAGGAGGCTGAGATCTGAGGATCATGGTTCAAAGCCAGCCCAGGCAGGAAAGACTATGAGATTCCTATCTCCAATAAACCACTCGAAAACCGGAAGTGGCGCTGTGGCTCAAGTGGTAGAACACTTGCCTTGAGCTGAAGAGTGCAGGGACAGCGCCCCAGCCCAGAGTTGAAGGCCCCACAACCAAAACAAAAAAAATGTCTCACAGACTTTCCTGCCTCCTGGGCTGTCTTCCAACGTTGACCATCAGATCTCAGCTTCCTAGGTAGCTAGGATTATAGGCATGAGCCATCAGTGCCTCATTTGTATTATATTTTTAATTGCCTACTTTTGCTCTATGCAGAATTTTGAGCCAATGTTATGCTGAGATATTTTTCTTTTAGTGTATGTGTGTGTGTATCTGTGAGAGAGAGAGAGATTAGGGGTGGTTCCTGCTAGGTGGACATTCTACCACTTGAGCAATTTCCTCAGTCTTTTGGGTTTTAGTCATTTTTCATAGGGTCTCTCCCCCCTCTTCCACTCTCCCTCCCCTCCCCCTGCCCCTGCCCCTTTTCCTCCTCTCTCCCTTTGCCAGTCTTGGGGCCTGAACTCTGGGCCTGGGCACTGTCCCTGAGCTTTTTAAAAGCTCAATGCTAGCACTGTACCACTTGAGCCTCACTTCTGGCTTTTTTTCTTTTTTGCTTATGTGGTGCTGAGGAATCGAACCCAGGGCTTCATGCATGCAAGACGAGCATTCTACCACTGACCCACCTTCCCAGCCCCATACGTCTGGCATTTTTGGCAGTTAATTGATGATAGTCCCACAGACTTTCCTGCCTGGGTAGCTTCTAATCATTTTCCTAAGTTCTCAGCCTCCTGAGTAGCTAGGGTTACACGCATGAGCCACTGGCATCCATCTGGGTTCCTTTTTTTTTGTCGGTCATGGGGCTTGAACTCTGGGCCTGAGTGATGTCCCTCAGCTCTTCAGCTCAAGGCAAGCATTCTACCACTTGAGCCATAGCACCACTTCCGGTTTTCTAGTAGTTAATTGGAGATCAGTCTTTGGTTTGCATTTTTATCTGGGCCAGCCTAGATTGCAATCATTCTATTTCCCCTTCCTACATAGCTGGATGACTGTTGTGGGACACTGCACCCAACTTCTGAAGTTTGTTAGATAGGATCAGAGCTGTTTCGCCTCCAAGCCCAAATGTCTACCAGTGCTGAGGCTAGGCCCTCCTTGCTCACTGTACCAACTGCTCAGAAAACAGGCTGTTTTCTGACTGCTGAGGACAGGGTGTTTGCTCTCTCCATGCTATGTGCTTTGGGCTGTGAACTAGTCTTCCTGCTGCCTCAGCCCCTGGCTACTGGCTTGTCCTCATCTCTCAACACTGCAGCATCCTGACAGGCATACAGCTCCCTGTGTTTCCTGCCACCATTATCTGGAACTGTAATTTAGATAGAAGACAACATCACCTCTGCTGTTTCAACTTTTCAAGAATCAAGTCCTCTAGTTTTCTTTATTTTTATTTTTTTGTCAGTTTTGGGACTTGAACTCAGGGTATGGGAGTGTCCCTGATCCTCTTTGTGCTCAAGGCTTAGTGCTCTGCCACTTGAGCCACCATGCAGCTTCTGGTTTTTGAGTGGTTAATGGGAGATAACTGTCTCTCCAGGACTTTTCTGCCCTGGCTGGCTTTGAACCACAATCCTCAGATCTCAGCCTTCTGAGCAGCTAGGATACAGGCATGAGCCACCAGCACCCAGCCAGAATCTTTTTTTTAATAGGAAAGTTTATCTTTAGCCATATTGTGCTTGCCTCTGCTAGCTAGTACCAGAACTGACTAAAGAAGTAGACCCCTGTATTGTGTGGTCTAAGTCGAGGCTTTGCTTCTTGGTCCCCCAGCTCCCACAGCCTCAGCACACCTCTGAGAGGCTGCAGGTTCTGATTCTTCAGACATCTCCCAACGTGGCAGAGCTCCATGTGTGATGTTCTCCCGACATGTGTTTGGTTTCAGGCCAACATAGCCGAGGTGGAGGTCTCGATCCCTGCCAAACTGCACAACTCCCTTATTGGCACAAAGGGGCGTCTGATCCGCTCCATCATGGAGGAGTGTGGTGGGGTCCACATTCACTTTCCCGTGGAAGGTTCTGGAAGCGACACAGTTGTCATCAGGGGCCCTTCCTCAGATGTGGAAAAGGCCAAGAAGCAGCTCCTACACTTGGCTGAAGAGAAGGTAAGCCCTTGCCGATGCTCCCTCCGCTCTGTAGGTAATCCTGAAGAGCTGCCTTGTGTTGGGTCAGGAAACAACCCTTTGATGGGCCTTTCTGTCTCCTTGACTTGCCCTTGCTTGCGACTTCCTAGTACAAATGCCTGTGTAGACAAAGAAAATTTGTTCTTTGGTTTATTACAAGGGCTTGTTTGTTTGGTGAGCAGGGAGGTACTGCTTAAAAGTCAGCTTTACAGTCAGTGGAAGGACTTTCTTGGTAGGTTTTGTTTGTTTCCTATGCCGCTCCAGGGGCTTGAACTTACTTGGCTTTTTAGCTCAGCACTGATGTTTTACTTGATGTTTACTACTTGAGCCACACCTCCAGTTCCAGCTTTTTTGCTGATTAGTTGGAGATAGTCTCACAGATTTTTTTCTCCTGGGCTGGCTTCAAACTTCAAATCTCAGACTTCTGAGTTGCTAGGGTTATAAGCATGAGCCACAAGCACCTGGCTGTTTGTGTTGGGTACATAAGGCAAGCATTCTTCCACTTCAACCACTCTTGAGTTCTTGCTGCTATAAGTTTTGACAAACATACAGTCACTGTGGTCCACTACCATCAATATATGGTACCACCACTGTTATAGCCAGCTTCCTGGGAAGAGTCCTTCAGCATTCTTTTTAAACTGTTTGGCTATTCCAGATCCTTGGCCTTTGTACACATTTTAGAACCAGCCTGTCAGATGTGGTTGGGATTGTGATAGAGATCGAATCAGAGGGGTTTGCATCTTAGCAATTTTTAGGCTTTAACCCATTTATCTCCAGTTTTGTTTTGTGTGTGTGTGTGTGTGTGTGTGTGTGTGTTTTGTGAATTCATTGTGCTTTGTAGGTTTCCACATACAGATTTTAAATGTGTGGTATTGGTTTATTCCTGTTATATGTTTTTCAGTGATACTGTAAGTGGTTCTGTTTTTCTAGTTACTGTTGTTAGCCTGTGGAAATAAAATTTGACTTTTTCTTTGTAGTCTTTTTTTTGTACTGGAGAAAACACAAATAGAAATCGTGTTATCTAGCCAGGCACCGGTGGCTCCCGTCTGTAATCCTAGCTACTCGGGAAGCTGAGACCTGAGGATCACAGTGGGAAGCCAACCCGGGCAGGAAAATCCTAAAGACTCTTATCTCCCATAAACTACCCAGAAAAAGCCAGAAGTGATTCCATGGCTCATGTGGTAAAATACTAGCTTTAAGCAAAAAAAGCTCAGGTGCAGTGCCCAGGTCCTGAGTTCCAGCCTTAGGACCACCACCAATACCTCCCACCCCCACCCTCGCCCCCCAAATCATCATCTATGAGTTGTATTCTTGCCTTGTGTTGTGCAGGTCCCCTAGAGCTTTCTAGAAACAGAGCTAAGGGCATAGTCTTACCTTGCGTGTCTTTTATAGTGTGATCTGCTTGCTGTAAAATTTCCCTTTGTCTCTGAGTTTATACAGTTTTGGGAGGAGTGGGTATTGGATTTTGTCAGATCCATTTTTTTTTACCTCCTAATGTGATTTTTGTTGGTGGTAGTGGTGGGCATGGGGCATGAGCTCTGGGTCTGGGTGTTGTACCTGAGGTTTTGGGGGTTTTTTTTTCCACATAAAGCTAGTGATCTACCACTTTGAGCACACCTCTGATTCCAGTTTCTCATAGACTGTCCTGCCCAGGTTGGCTTCCCACTGAGATCCTCAGATCTCAGCCTCTTGAGTAGCTAGGGTTATAGGCATGAGCCACTGGCACCTGGCTTTCTCATCTTTCTTTATCTCTCTTCTGCTCATGACCAGTACTCTACAACATGATATGCCTCTACTTCGTGCTTTTTTTTTTTTTTATAGTTAATTGATGTTAAGATCAAATCACATATTTGTCAGCTTAGCCTGGCTTCAAACTTCAGTTCTTAGAGTTTAGCCTCTTATATAGCTATGTTGCATGAGCCATAGTACTTGGTCTGATTTTTTTTTTGATTGGTCATGGGGCTTGAACTCTGGGCCTGGGTGCTGTCCCTGAGCTCTTCTACCACTTGAGCACCACAGCACCACTTCTGGTTTTCTTTGCTTTATTGGAGATAAGAGTCTCATGGAGGGCTGGGAAGGTGGCTCAGTGGTAGAGCGCTTGCCTTGCATGCCTGAGGCCCTGGGTTTGATTCCTCAGCACCACATAAGCAAAAAAAGAAAAAAGCCAGAAGTGGCGCTGTGGCTCAAGTGGTAGAGTGCTAGCCTTGAGCTAAAGAGCTGAGGGACAGCGCCCAGGCCCAGAGTTCAGGCCCCATGACCGGACCCCCCCCCCAAAAAAAAAAAAAAAAAGAGTCTCATGGACTTTCCTGCCCAGGCTGGCTTTGAAATCTCAGCCTCTTGAGTAGCTAGGATTACAGGTGTGAGCCACTGGTGCCTGGCTATATATATATTTTTTTTTTTAGACCATTAGTGTTCTGTTTGTATATTTAACCAATCTCTTGGTTTTGATGCTTATTTCCGTTTTTTGAGAGTCTTAGTTTGTATCCCAGAGTAACCTGGGACTTTCAGTCCCCTTGCCTCTATTTCCCAAGTGTTGTTATTATAGGCATTGGCTTTTTTGTGTGTGTGCCAGTCCTGAGCCTTGAACTTGGGGCCTGGGCACTGTTCCTGAACTTTAACACTCTACCACTTGAGCCACAGCTACTTCCTTTCTGGTGGTTAATTAGAGGTGATGCCCAAGCTGGCTTTGAACTTGGATTCTCAGATCTTAGCCTCTTCAGTAGCTAGGATTAAAGGAATGAGCTACCAGTGCCTGGCCAGGCATTGGCTTCGAAATAATGTTGATGTATGAGAATATCTGCCTCAACCAAATTGGTTGTTTAAGCTATACATATTAGCCAGTTTTTTTCTGTATTCTTCATGGTGTGCTCCAGGTACAAACAAACAAAATAGCAGGATGTGCCTTTATGGCTTTCTGTTTTGCAGTTTAACTCTATCAGGAGCACTGGCATACATAAGGCACTCCAAGAGCTTTTGCTGCTCTCTGCCTTCTTGGCAGAGCCCTTCTCAGCTGTGGCCTTGGTAGCTGGAGATTGCCCCAAGCTTGACCTGAGAGTTTTTTAGTTAGGCTAGTCTGGAGGGAAGATGCTGGCCCAGCAGTGCTTTGTGTTGGTTTGGTATGGAAGCCAGTAGATGAAGGCAGTTCTGCAGTAGAGCTCCTCAGGCAGTGGCTTGAAGATGCCGATCATCGCAGATTCATGGCAGAACCAATTGTAGTTCTGTGTGTCTCCACAGTTAGGCCTCTTTGCCCGGACTGTCTTCTGAGGTCAGTGCCGTTGGCCCCCCTCGGAAGTGTGACGCTGTACCATTAGCGGTGCTCACCGCATGCCATGTCCTCTGGGCTTTCTCATTCACTTGTGCTGTGCCCCAGGCAGGTGGTGTGGGGCTAAAATATGTGGAGTTGATTTCTGCAGCAAACCAAGAGCTTCACCGTGGATATCCGAGCCAAGCCAGAATACCACAAATTCCTCATTGGCAAAGGGGGTGGCAAGATCCGCAAGGTGCGTGACAGCACCGGAGCTCGCATCATATTCCCAGTAGCTGAGGACAAGGACCAGGACCTGATCACCATCATAGGGAAGGAGGACGCTGTCCGCGAGGCGCAGAAGGAACTGGAGGCCTTGATTCAGAACCTGGTAAGACGTGGGCCTTGGCTGCTGGCTCTGTGCATGCCACGGAGGGTGGGACCATTTTTCATTTTCTTCTCTCAACACCTCAGGATAATGTGGTTGAAGACTACATGCTGGTGGAACCCAAGCACCACCGCCATTTTGTTATCCGAAGAGGCCAGGTTTTGAGGGAGATTGCTGAAGAATATGGTGGGGTGATGGTCAGCTTCCCACGCTCGGGCACACAGAGTGACAAGGTCACCCTCAAGGGCGCCAAGGACTGTGTGGAGGCGGCCAAGAAGCGCATTCAGGAGATCATCGAGGACCTGGTGGGTTCCTGGCCGGGCTCGTATTTCCAAAGTCCACTCAGGAGTGAGTAGCTGCTGGGCCTCATGCACATCCCTGCTTCTGGCCTCATAGTGACTGACAAGCAGCCTTTTTGTTTTTAAGAAAGTATCTAATGAGCCGGGTACCAGTGGCTCACGCCTGTCATCCTAGCTACTCAGGGGGCTGAGATCTGAGAATCGTTCTTCAGAGCCAGCCTGGGCAGGAAAGTCCATGAGACTCTTAGCTCCAGTAAACCACCAGAAAACTGAAAGTGGTGCTGTGGCACAAGGGGTAGAGCACTGGCCTTGAGCTGAAGAGCTGAGGGACAGTGTCCAGGCCCAGAGTTCAAGCCCCACGACCAACAAAAAAAGAAAAGAAAATATCCAACAATCCTATTCGAAACCATCTGGGAAAGACAAATCTGAGAGACTCTAATGTCCAATTAACCAGCAAAAACAGTCTGAGGGTGAGGCTCAGTGGTAGCACAGCCTTGAGCGAAAAAGCAGAAGAGTAGAGCGCCAAGACCAGGGTTCAAACCCAGTACCAGCATACGAAAGGAAGGAAAGAAAGAGGTGGGAGAGTTAGGGGAGCGAGGGGAAAAAATACGATCTAGAAAGGACCTATTTTTTTTTCTTCTTGGCAAAGGGCCCAGACTGAAGGATAGGAGGGTATCGGAGAAGCAGTAGAAGAGTCACATGAGAGCACCTGGCTTTTCTAAAGCAGCCTTAAGTGCATGTCCCTTCCTCCGGGACCTTCCTTCCTGCCACCCACGGGCCTGGTGGCCTCTGTGGGATTGCCTGGTGCCCTCAGGGAGCCCCAGGCTGTAACAAGAAAAGGCCACCTTGGGTGGACGGGCCTCGGGCGCAGCTTGCTGTGGGGGGACAGGGCTTCTTCCTCCCGTGTTTACTAGATAGTTTCTTTTTCTATCTTTTTTTCTTTTTTTTTTTTTTTTTGTCAGTTGTGGGCTGAATTCTGGGCCAAAGCTCAGGGAATCCTGAGCTCTTCAGTTCAAGAAAAGCGCTCTACTATTTGAGCCACAGCACCACTTCCAGTTTTCTGTGCTTTTTTGGAGAGTCTCACATGGTTTCTTGCCCAGGCTGGCTTTGAACCTTGGTCCTCAGATCTCAGCCTCCTGAGTAGCTAGGATGACAGGCGTGAGCCACCAGCACCCAACTTTTAGTAGATATTTTCTATTCAAGCTATGCGGTAGATGGCTGAGGGTGTTTGTGCTATATGCAGTCGGTGTTTTCTGTCTCTGGCTCTTCTGCAGGAAGAAGGCTGCCTCCTTGGCCATGTCTATGTTGGGTCCCCCTGCAGGAGGCCTTCCTCAGCCATGAGGGCCCTCCCACCAGGACACCAAAGAGGATGGAATATTGGCCTGAGGATTTTGAGCTCTGCTCTTTTTTCTTTGTGCTTCTGTTCAGGAAGCTCAAGTCACAGTGGAATGTGCTATACCCCAGAAGTTCCATCGATCTGTCATGGGCCCCAAAGGTTCCAGAATCCAGCAGATCACTCGGGATTACAATGTCCAGATTAAGTTCCCTGACAGAGAGGAAAACCCAGGTGGGTCCTTTGCCCCTGTGTTGACAGTGCCATTTCTGCGAGTCAGCTCTTTGCTCCTGTGCTGCTGTCCTGCCCTGTGTTCTGGTGCGGGAGTGGGGCTTGGCTGCCGCTTGTGGTTTCAAGGGCCTTCCAGAGGTTCAGGACAGCTTCCTACCTGGTCTTAGAGCTGGGCCCTGTGTGTGCTCACAGGGGATAAGCCTCAGAGGAGCCAAGTGTTCTCAATGTCTTCCTGGAGAGCACTGAATGACATCACTCTGGTACCCAGAGCCACCTCTGCCTGCTGCACAGCACTATGGATGTGTCCCTGGGGGCTCCATCCTGTTCTCGGAAGGGCCTTTTAGCTCCCGGGTGAGAGCGGACGTGCATTCTTTGATGGCACAGGAGGTCAGTGAGACCCAAGTGGCTGCCTTTCGGCTTGGTCTGTGGAAGGGGGTGCGTGCACTGTGGTGCCTTGTCCCGGGATCTCCATGAAGGAGGCACACCCCGTGTGGAGTCCTGTCCTGGGACCTCCGTGGGCTTGGCCCTGCAGCGGCCTGCAGCCTGCCACCGCATTGCTGTCGCAGCGCAGCCCTGGCTCTTGTCACGCACGGCCATTTCAGCTTGTTTGCTATCTGTGTAGGAAGCTAATTCAACCCACTTGCCTCATCTGCATACCATCTCTGTGTAGTTCTTTGAGCAGTTTAGTTTTGATACGGTTCACACTTAGTCAGGAACCCACATAACATAAAGCTGCATCTGTTTTCCTACCCTCCAAAGTCAAAAAATGTTTTTTCAACCCTTTCCCTATTCCTGTGTTTTCTCCTGAATCAGTTGAGTGAAATTTTTAGACATATCTCTAACGTGGATACTTTTTAAGGATCCAAACATTCTCATAAAACAGTGGCACATTCATCAAAGTTACACAGCAGTATTTAGTCCATAGACAGTATTATAGTTGGCCAGTATTAGAAGTATCCTTCAGCCAGAGGTTAGAAGGCTAGCCCAGGCAGGAGTTTCTTGAGACCCCATCTCACACAATAAACTGAGTGTGGTGGTTCATACCTATGGTCCCAACTAGGGGACCAAATAGGCCTAAATAGGGATTGTGATCCAGCCAGCCTCAGCAGAAACAAGAGACCCTATGCACATAGGACTAAAGGAAAAAGGGGGGCTGGGAAGGTGGCTCAGTGGTAGAGTGCTTGCCTTGCATGCCTGAGGCCCTGGGTTCCATTCCTCAGTATCCATACCTCCGGACTGGGGAAAGAAAGAAAAGGAAAAGGGGATCAGGTTACGGCTCAAGTGGCAGAGTGGCTGCCTAGCAAACAGGAAGCTCTGACTTAGTCTTTAAGCGGAGAACTGCAGAGCGCTGCCCGGCGACTCACCCCTGTGCTCACCGCTACTCAGGAGGCTGAGAGCTGTCTGTGGATTGGATTCCAAGCCAGTCCAGATAGGCAAAGTCCATGAGGCTCTCAGCGTAAGTAACCACCAAAATGCCAGGAGAGATGCTGTCCGGGCAGTTATTTGGTGCACACATTTCCACAGAGCCTCCAGCCAGCCTCCCTGTTCTGATGGCCTCATTTTGGATTCTCTACTTCCTTAGGTTAGAATCTGACCTGTCCCTGAATACACTCTCAGATTTCTCAAACGCTGTCCAGGGCTGCTCCCCAGACCTGACTGCGTGGTAGTCCCTTGCCCTGGTGCACTCTGCCTCGTGGTCAGGCTCCACACACGCCATCTCCTTCAAGTCTTAGGTTGTTAACATGGCTCTGTTAGTTGAGAAAGGGGTGGAGCACCAGACGCTGACCGCTCGCGCCTGTATCCCTAGCTGCTGAGGCTGAGATCTGAGGATCGCCAGCCTCAAAGCCAGCCCGGGCAGGAAAGTTTGTGACGCTATTATCTCCAATTAACCAACAAACTGTTGGCTCAAGTGGTAGAGCACTAGCCTTGAGCATAAAAGCTCAGGTATTGTGCCCCAGCCCTATATTTAAGCCCCAGGATCAGTACCAAAAAAAGGCAGGGGGAGATGTGCACACCCGCGTGTGCACGTGCACACAGGAGGGAGCTACCAAGCTTGGCTCACTGCCCCCACCCTGCCCTAGCAGCCTCCAAGAGCAAGTGTCTTCCCACCCCAAGGCCCAAGCGGGTCCACCCTGCCCTAGCAGCCTCCAAGAGCAAGTGTCTTCCCACCCCAAGGCCCAAGCGGGTCCACCCTGCCCTAGCAGCCTCCAAGAGCAAGTGTCTTCCCACCCCAAGGCCCAAGCGGGTCCACCCTGCCCTAGCAGCCTCCAAGAGCAAGTGTCTTCCCACCCCAAGGCCCAAGCGGGTCCACCCTGCCCTAGCAGCCTCCAAGAGCAAGTGTCTTCCCACCCCAAGGCCCAAGCGGGTCCACCCTGCCCTAGCAGCCTCCAAGAGCAAGTGTCTTCCCACCCCAAGGCCCAAGCGGGTCTTGACAGGCGTTGAATGTGCTCACGGCATGACACTGGCTGCCACACGCATCTTTGGGCCCTTGTCCACTGGCTGCTTTTCCTGTTCTCCAGGGCAGAGTGCAGAGCCAGCCATCCAGGAGAATGGCGATGAGGCCGGGGAGGGCAGAGAGGCAGATCCAGGCTCTCCCAGGAGGTGCGATATCATCATCATCTCAGGCCGGAAGGAGAAGTGTGAAGCCGCCAAGGAAGCCCTTGAGGTGCGTTTGTCCCCCTGCTCCCCAAGGGCGGAGCTTCCCACCTGGTCTGACAGACTGGCGGTGCTCAGCTGTCACAGAGCCAGGGTGGCCACTTCCCTTTCCAGGACCTGGAGTCTACAGCTCCTCCCATGGACCACCGGCGGCTGGTCCCAGCTCTGGGCCCTGGGCAGGGGGGCTGTGGAGAGGTTTCGTTAGCAGTATGTGATTGGTCTCAGGATCCATTGACTCCTGAAGTGTGGGTGTAATCTAGCTCAGGCTTCACGTAACTGTGAGTCATTTATGGGGAGGGTACTTGTTGAGCAGTGGCCCTGTGTTGGGTCCTGTTAGAAGCACTGTGGTACACAATGGAGAAAGGTGCGCAGTGGTCTGTGAGTCTAAGCAGGAGCCATCCAGGAGAGTCTCTGCCACGGCCGTCATAGCATCAGAGATGTGGCTGTGTCCTGCGCCTACCTCTTCCCATTGGGGTACAGGCTGACTCCTCAGACTGTGTCTGTGTTTGTTCTTCATGAGTGGTCCAGGTAGCATAGGCACACTGACAAAAGGTTGCAGAAAGATGCTCTTGTCCTCAGGCTCGTGGGGCAGGAAATCTGCCCTCTACTCCTGGCCAGCCTTCACTGTCTTCCTCTGCAGGCGTTGGTTCCAGTCACCATTGAAGTGGAGGTGCCCTTTGACCTTCATCGATACATCATTGGGCAGAAAGGCAGCGGGATCCGAAAGATGATGGATGAGTTTGAGGTAAGCTCCTGTCCTTGGAGTCGCTAGAGAGTTCTCCTATCTGGCCTTCAAAGTGCTGTTGTTGATCAGTTCATGCGCCTCTGCTGACTCCTGACTGAGCACTGACCTCCCCTCCAGTTCTCCCTCACAGCTCTCCACACTCTCCCTCCTCCGAGTCCCAGGCCTGTGACTGTATTCTGGGGCTACCACGTAGACTCATTCCTGTCTGACCACACAGGTGAATATTCACGTCCCGGCTCCTGAGCTGCAGTCTGACATCATTGCCATCACTGGCCTGGCTGCAAATTTGGACCGGGCCAAGGCCGGGCTGCTGGAGCGAGTGAAGGAGCTGCAGGCTGAGCAGGAGGACCGGGTAAGCCGTCTTGGGCCACAGGAGGCAGGATCATTGCAGGCCCCGGAGGCTTTCTGCAGCTGGGCCCTCAGTCCAGTACACTTCAGACTCCTGGACCCGAAGGGAGGCCAGCGGGTCCTGCTGTGCGGTCCTAACAACACCCTGGAGCCCTTCATGCGGAAGGAGTGCAAGGCAAAGTTAAAAGAGCTTGGCCCTTCTAAAGGAATAAAGTTGTGTTTTCCCACAGAACAGTCTGGTGATATGACAGAATTCTGAAGCCTCAAAGCCTTCTCGCATGCTGTGACCATGCCCTGAATTGGTCTCTAGCCAGATCTCACCTCAGGCTGTGGGGGGCCACAGCTGTCTATTCTCTGGACACCCTTGGCCTTTGTCATACCAAATTCTGAAAGATTCAGAATGTTTTCCTTAAACTGATTCATCTTAACTGTAGTTGGCAAATTCACCGTGTAGCACCAAGAGCTTGAGCAGCTCATTTCCTGCCCTGAGCTTCCTGAGGACGGGTGCTGGCCTCCCATGGCAGCCTGCTTCAAACACAGCGTCACCTGGAGTGGGTGTGAGTGGTCAGGGTCTCTGGTGCTCTCTTGGACAGATGATGAAGTGTGGCAGGAGTCAGGCAGAGAGGTGCCTGGCTCTTTAGGGTCAAAAGTGCTAAATGCCAGCTGTAAGCAGGGTTTGGGATATCTGGCTTGTGTTTGTCAAGGCTGCACTGGAATGGCTGTGGGTGCACCTGGCTTAGCTGTAGATGGAGTGCTCTCCACCTCATTCTCCTCCCTTGTTTCTTTCATAGGCTTTACGGAGTTTTAAGCTGAGTGTCACTGTAGACCCCAAATACCATCCCAAGATTATTGGGCGGAAGGGGGCAGTCATCACGCAGATCCGCCTGGAGCACGATGTGAACATCCAGTTTCCTGATAAGGATGACGGGAGCCAGGTGAGGGGGAGGCCCCCCTGGGCGCGGGGAGCGCATGGCGTGTGCGCGCGGGGAGCGCTTGGCGTGTGCGCGCGGGGAGCGCTTGGCGTGTGCGGGCTTTGCCCCCCAGCTTCCACCTGGGCCCGGACCAGGCAGGGCTTCTTTGGTCTGATTTTAGCTTGAGGCTGCGCCAGGGTTGGCGCTTGCATTCTGGATGAGGTTTCCACGCCATGTGCCAGCTGGGCCCTTGCCCTGCATGCACAGCTGTTCTCCAGCGTCTCCCTGCTCTGCAACGCTGCGTCCCTCCTGTTGCGCTCACAGCAAGTGGAGAGGGTAGCACAGCCCCTACCCTCTCACCTCCACCTCCACTCACACAGACTTCCAGGTCCCTCTCCCTTAAGCTTGGCTGTCCTGCTGCCAGTGCTGCTTTTGGATGTGATCCAGCTCTGATGGACATTACTGTAGTCCAACAAACTGATGGCCAGGGCCACTGAGCCCAGGAGAGCAAGTCTACTGTACCACATCCCTTTTTTTTTTTTTTTTTTTCTTTTTTTGCCAGTCCTGGCACTTGAACTCAGGGCCTGGGCATTGTTCCTGAGCTTCTTTTGCTCCCAAGGCTAGGAAGCACTCTACCACCTGAGCCAAGTGCCACCTCTGGCTTTTTCCTTGTATGTGTTGCTGAGGAATCAAACCTGAGCTTCATACATGCAAGGCCAGCCCTCTACCACTGAGCCACATTCTCAGCCCCCAATTTTTATTTGTATTTAAATTTTTAGTGGCTTTACTTTTACTATAAAGGTGATATACAGAGGGTACAGTTACACAAGTCAGGTGACGAGTACGTCTCTTTTTGGGCAATGCCACCCTATCCCCCACTCTCTCCCAGTTTTTTCCCTCCCGTCCCTGCCAACAAGTTGCATGGTTCATTTTCATGAAGCACAGTGTCTAGGGAGTACCACTGCTTTACTCACGATTAAAAAGGCCTGGTCTTCCTTTGAGGCTGTTGTAATCCTTTTCATATTCAGACTTCCCACTTGCAGCAGCTCAGACCCCTGCTGTGCCTGCCCCCAGCGAACCTGCCCCCTGCTGGAGGGAGGAGGTGTCCGCTGTGCCTGCCCCCAGCGAACCTACCTCCTCTACCACCTGGCCATCGTTTGGACAGCAGGGTCTCCAGCTGCTGTTCTCCAATCCCCTGAGTGTCCCTTGCTTCCCTCTCAGATCCTGTGACATTTTGGCTTAACTCCAGGCTTTTGTTCTGTGGCCCTACTCAGAGTGTTTTGCTGTGAACCTGTTCCCACCGTTGTGAAGATGAGGGGTTACAGCTATGTTGTTTACACGGCTCCTTCTGTATGCCCTTGTATGCCTTTGCTCCCTTCTTTCCAGTGTGGTGGTGCCCACCTGTGTGAGATGAGGGGCCTGAACTGGGGGTCAGGGAGCTGGGAGAAGGCAAGCTCTGAGGGCTTGGGCGCTCTGTGAGAGTGGGCGCGCCTCCAGGCGGGCACAAAGTAGCGGCTGAGGGCGTAGCCTCTGTTCCACGGTGGTCTCTGACCGGTGCCTCCTGTCTGGACTCCGTTTTTGTGGTCGGCTGCCTTTCTGCTCTTGTATCTGGACTCTCTTTTTGGGGGTGATAAAGGACTGGCACTGATCAGACATTGTTAACCTGCTGTTTCACATCAGCCACGTGACACACACCTGTGCCGATGCCTTCTTTTCTGAGGTGACGCGCGTTTCCTTACCCTAGGGGCAGGCGGCCTGTGTGCTGGGCCCTCCAGCCTTGGCTTGTGGTGGAGAGACCCAGACAGCCTCCCCTCTCTGACTGCGTTCTCCTCTCTTGAGGCCCAGGACCAGATCACCATCACAGGGTATGAGAAGAACACAGAAGCTGCCCGAGATGCCATCTTGAAAATTGTGGGTGAGCTTGAGCAGATGGTTTCTGAGGACGTCCCGCTGGACCACCGTGTCCATGCCCGCATCATTGGTGCCAGGGGCAAAGCCATCCGCAAAATCATGGATGAGTTCAAGGTGAGCCCCAGTGCCAACTGGAAGCTCAGAGCTGAGGGTCCACGCTTTGTCGGGGCAGCGTTGGCCCGGTGGTTCCTGTCTGAGGAGTCACTGCGGCGCAGGAGGCCGTGGGCGCACCTGGGGCACTCTGCTTCCAGCTGGTGGGGTCGCACAGACAACATGGACCTGCACGCTGAAGCGGCCACCTCCAAGGGTCTGCGAACTCAGAGCCCTCTCAGATGCCTTCTGCGGTCCTGTGTCTTCCAGGTGGACATTCGCTTCCCGCAGAGTGGAGCTCCAGATCCCAACTGCGTCACTGTGACAGGGCTCCCGGAGAATGTGGAGGAGGCCATCGACCACATCCTTAACTTGGAGGAGGAATATGTGAGCCTGGGTGGGCGGGGCCGCATGAGGCAGCCTGCTCCGCGTGGCCTGGGTCCTGGCAGGCCAGAGGAGACGGGGAGGCGCAGGGGTGAGCTGGTGGGTGGCTCGGTTGACCTGGACTGCAGACTGACCCACACCACCCTGCACCCCTGCAGCTGGCCGACGTGGTAGACAGCGAGGCCCTGCAGGTTTACATGAAGCCCCCGGCACACGAGGAATACAAGGCCCCCTCCAAGGGGTTCGTGGTGCGGGACGCTCCCTGGACTGCCAGCAGCAGTGAGAAGGTCAGGTGACTCTTCCTCCCACCTGGGCGGGGGGCTGGCTGGCGATGGCCCAAGAACAGTGAGGAGCAGGGGAAAGTGTGTCTCCTGCGCTTCCTGGGGTCACAGCGGTGGCTTCAGGAACCGCTCAAGCCAGGAGAGCCGTGCCAGACTAAAGCTGTGTCTTCCCACTCTACAGGCTCCCGATATGAGCAGCTCCGAGGAATTTCCCAGCTTTGGGGCTCAGGTGGCCCCTAAGACCCTCCCTTGGGGGCCCAAGCGATAATGAACAAAAGGCAGAAAGCTCTCCAGCCTGCTGACCTGAACCTAGCCACACCACGGTTTGTCTCAATCTGACCCAGCAGCTGGACCCTGGTAAATTGTTGACGCTCTTTCCCCCTCCCTGAGGTCTCGCAGTGAAGCCTGGTTGGCAGCCAGTGGGCTCAGCCACCTGCCCCTGGCACTGTGCTCTGGGACAGGCACACTTTTCAACACTAAGCAAAGTAACAGAGCATCTCCTGATAACACAGACTCCAGCTTCCTGGCCCAACCCAGCATGCACTCAGCACTCTGACCTCCATTACCAGAGCTCCACGGCAGCGGCTAGGAGTCGACTTCCTGTGTCATGACCTCAGGAAATAAATTTCCTTGACTTTATAAAAGCCAAAATGTTTGCCCTCTTCCTTTCCCACCTCCTTCCCACGGGCTCTCTGTCGACCAGACCTTCTTTGTGGAACACAGTCAGCTCCTCTAACTGCCAAAGTCTGCTTAGCTCAGGCCACAGGGTGGGGGGCCGAGGCTGGAGACCAGGGTGTCCAGCACCGATCGTACCCCTGTGGGTCCGACGTCCCTGCAGGCCTCTGCTCCACGGCGGAGGTGGGGCCGCGCGTGTCTGCTCCCGGCCTCGGTGGCAGGGAGCAGGAAGCCTGCTTCCCCCCTTGGGCGGGGGCTGCTTGCCTCTGATGCCATCTCCACTTGCCCCCGTGGCCCAGCCCGGGCACCTCGTGTTCAGTCGCCTTCTTTCTACCTCAGCCGTGCGGTAGCGTTGTCGTGCGCAGTTTATTTCCCTCCCCCAAGTCTCCTTCTGGTGGTTGGTCCTGACTGGCTGCAGTTGGGTGTGGAGTGGAGCAGGGTTGGAGGCTGGTCCCGCATGGAGTGCTCTCTCCCTCCCGGCCCAGGTGACTGGCCCTCGAAGGCTCAAGCTGGGCAGGCCACAGGCACTGATCCCAGGTTGCTGGCTTTAGAGGCAGGTGTCACAGTCCTGGTTTAAGTAAAGAGAAGCTGTCGATTCGCTTATTGCAAAAAGAAGCCAAGTAAGAGGCAGAGGACCCTCCCAGCCTCGGTAGATTCTTCCATTTCGGTGTGGCTTGGATACAATCGGGGGCCACAGGCCAGAGGCCCCCCACCAGGAAAGGTGTGGGGACTGAAGACGTGCTTTAGTAGCCATAGTAAGTGTCCTGTCCCCGACGTGTGGGCTCCTTAGACAGCCAACTTGTGCCCGTTTCCTAGCCCACCCTAGGGATGGTCTCTGCTCTGAGTTGGGCTTAAGCACACCAGAGGTGGCCACTTACGGTACAGCATCTGCTTGGCTGGGTAGCAGCCAGCCTGAGGCTGGGCAAATGGGACCGGGAGCAAAGGCCAGGGCTCCCACCAGTCCCCCAGAGGGGCCTTGCTCCTGGGGACCTTGAGGGAGGTCTGCATGAGCTTGAGTGTTTTCCTGTTGGTCATTTTGCTTCCCTCCTCTTCCCCTGCTCCTCTGGTACCCACCCCACCTCTCCTCTTCCAACAGTCCCTTCCCTTCCCCCAGAAGGTAATTTTTGAACACATCTCCATTTATTGCCAAGTGCTGTAGATGTAAGTCCCATCCAAAGCTGTTCAGGGCCTTCTTTTCAGTCGTTTCTGAGCTCCGTGAAATGACTGTACCAGGCTGACCCCCTGCAATTTGAACTGCTGGGGCTGAGCAGGGGTGGGCAGAGCTTTTCCTCCTTGTTGATGTCTTCCATGCCCTATGTTTCCATAGAAACATCCATCCCTTGGCCTTAACTTTGGAATTTGGAGATTATATGCAAATATGTGTAAAGGCTCATAAATATGGATGACACTGGAATTTTATAAATTCTACAATAAAACCAACCCTGGATGCTGTAGAATGGGACTGTTTATTGTGTGCTTTCCTTCCTGGGCCATCCCGTCTGCTGTGATTCTCCAGCTGTTTGTAGTGCTGCTGCTGTGGCCTCCTGGGATGGAGCTGGCGGAGTCTTGGCGGTGGCCCTTACGCCTGGCACTGGCTTCCACCAGTCCATCAGCATGCTGCAGCTTTCCTTTCCTTGGCTCAGGATTGAGTTCTCCATCAGTTTCAGGAAGGGGTCCCAGAGTCCAGGCAACCTGGAGGGCTCCAGGACAGACCTAGTTTATGAGCTTGGCTGATGGAAAGCCACAGAGAGGAAGCCACGTTAAGCAGGAAGGACTACTCAAGACCGGCTCACATCTGTAATCTCAGTTACTCAGGCAGCTGAGATCAGAGGATCACGATTTACAGCCAGTCCAGGCAGAAGAAGTCCATGAGACTCATCTCCAATCACCAGAAAACCAGAAGTGGAGCTGTGGCTCAAGGGGTAGAGCACTAACCATGAGTGAAAAAGCTCATGGATAGCACCACACCCTGAGTTCAAAGACCTTTTGAGGCAGGAGATTCCTGAAAGTGGCAAGAGGAGGAGCAAGGTAACTAATACACACATCCACACCACCCCCAGTAGCCCCATCTCCACCTGAAAAATAGCCCAGAAGCTCCTGTCAAAGCCAAATGTACCTCAAGCCAGGCCCACGACACCTGGGAGGGACCTCGAGCCATCCACCAGAGCCGAGGCCCATGTCCAGTGGAGAGGGTCAGGGTTCCATAGCTCCACCCATGGAGGAAGCCATGAGTCCTGGGCCAAGAGTGTCCACACACGCACTCATGGTTACGTCAAACTCTTTGGGGTGAAGATCTTAAAGGTCACAACAAAGACCGATTTCACTGCCCATGCCCTCCCCCTCGCGGGCCCGCCTCAGCTGCTCGGTGTGGTCTCTTTCATCAGTCCAGTGCTGCTGTCCCCAACCTCCCTGGTAGAGTCCCGGCACTCTAACAAGACAGGTAGCAAGTCACGTGTCCAAAACTGCCACTGGCTGTGGCCAGGATCAGCCAGTGTGTCCTGAGCCAGGGGTTGCCCGCGTTGCGGGTGGGCGGGAGGAGGCACTGTCCACGGAGGGAACCTTTTATTTTGATGTTTTTGTCAGTTCCCCTTTTTAAGGCTGCCCTGTGTACATCACACACAGTGGACACGATTCATTTAAGGATGTTTATTCCAGCATAATCTGCAGTGGAGGAAGAAGACAAACTTGCATCCCAACAGTACACGGGTGGATGCCAAGTTAGGAAATGTGTTAGTAGGGAAAGGTCAAAGCTGTCCTGTGCTGGGCACCTGTGGCTGACACCTGTAATCCTAGCTGCTCAGAAAGCTGCAATCTGACATTGTGCAGGAAGTAGAAGTATGGTTCAAGTGGTAGAGCACCAGCCATGAAAGAAAAACAAGCTCAAGGCCCTGAGTTCAAGCCACCAAAAAGAAGAGCAAATCCGACTTAGAATACTGAGAGACTGCAGGAAGTCACGGGACCGCATGGTGATGTGCTGCATGCTTTCTCGTTCTACGCCCTCTCCATCTCTGTGCTCTCCTGAAGCCAACTGCGGGGTGCCTTGAGCCCCGATGCGGGTGCCGGCGGCGGGAGGCTGCAGGGCGGCGCCACAGGCGGGTCAAGAAGCACGAGCAGGGCGGGAAGGTGGCTCAGCGGCAGCGTGCTTCCTCGCATGCGTGAGGCCCTGGGTTCGATCCTCAGCACCACATAAACAGAAAAGGCTGGAAGTGGCACTGTGGCTCCAGTGGTAGAGCACTCGCCTTGAGCTGAAGAGCTGAGGGACAGCGCCCAGGCCCCGAGTTCAAGCCCCAGGACTGGCAGAAAAATAAGAACGAGGTGGAAGATGGACGGAGGAGTCGCAGCAAGATGAGCAGAGGACGGGGCGCTGCGGGCCCGGGTGCCGCAGAGCTTTGTCCCCAGGTGACCCGCGGCCCAGGGCATGGTCCCACCCCGCTCCCCGCTCCAGCCCCGCCCCGCCCCTCCGAGCCCCGCCCCATCCCCCGAGTCCTTCCGAGCCCCGCCCCGTCCCCCGAGTCCTTCCGAGCCCCGCCCCTTCCATCCGAGCCCCGCCCCTCCTAGCCCTTCCGAGCCCCGCCCCTTCCATCCGAGCCCCGCCCCTCCGAGCCCTTCCGAGCCCCGCCCCGCCCCTCCGAGCCCCGCCCCGCCCTTCCGAGCCCCGCCCCTCCGAGCTCCGCCCCGTCCCTCCGAGCCCTTCCGAGCCCCGCCCCACCCCTCCGAGCCCCGCCCCTCCGAGCTCCGCCCCGCCCCTCCGAGCCCCGCCCCGCCCTTCCGAGCCCCGCCCCGTCCCTCCGAGCCCCGCCCCGCCCTTCAGAGCCCCGCCCTTCCGAGCCCCGCCCCGCCCTTCAGAGCCCCGCCCCTCCGAGCTCCGCCCCGCCCCTCCGAGCCCCCCTTCCGAGCCCCGCCCCGCCGCCCGGACCTCCTGAGGCGCTCCCGGTCCCTCCCCCCCTTCCGTTGCGGGACGCCCGCCAGAACGCGGACCCCGACGCTGCTGTCCGGAGTCGGCCGCGGGGCCGCGGGGTCTCCACCCGGCCCGCGGAGCCCGGCCGAGAGCGGCGGCCACGAAGGCTGCAACGAGGCCGAGCCGCGGCGCGGGAGCGGCTGCGGGCTGCGGCCCCGGGCCCATCGCCGGCCGGGCTGGACCCGCGGGGAGCTGCTGAGCACCGGCGCTGCCGCTGGGCGGCCTCCGCCGCACCGGTGTGGGGTCCGCGCCCGTCCTTCGGTCCTTCGGTTCCCTAAGCCCGGCCAGGCCGCGTCCTCGGGGACCGCCCCCCCCCCCCGCCGGCCCCGGGGACCGCCCCCCCGCCCCCCCCGCCGCCCGCCGGCCCCGGGGACCGCCCCCCCGCACCCCCCCCCCCGCCGGCCCCGGGGACCGCACCCCCGCCCCCCCCCCCCCGCCGGCCCCGGGGACCGCCCCCCCCGCCCCCCCCGCCGCCGCCGGCCCCGGGGACCGCCCCCCCGCCCCCCCCCCCACCGCCGGCCCCGGGGACCGCCTCCCCGCCCCCCCCCCGCCGGCCCCGGGGACCGACCCCCGCCCCCCCCCCGCCGCTGCCGGCCCCGGGGACCGCCCCCCCGCACCCCCCCCCCTGCCGGCCCCGGGGACCGCCCCCCCCGCCCCTCCCGGCCGCTGCAGGCCCCGGGGACCGCCCCCCCCCCCCCCCGCCGGCCCCGGGGACCGCCCCCCCCTCCCCGCCGGCCCCGGGGACCGCCCCCCCCCCCCCCGCCGGCCCCGGGGACCGCCCCCCCGCACCCCCCCCCCCCGCCGGCCCCGGGGACCGCCCCCCCCTTGTCCCAGGGAAGAGGGAGGAGCAGCTGCGCTGGCCCCCGTGGGCCCATGGCGTCCGCGGCTGCGGACACAGACCCTGGCCGGGCCTGCGTCCTGTCCCTCCGTCCCTGCAAGATGGGAGGGAGCAGGCTTGCTCCCACGGGCTTTGCGGGAAGGGGCTCCTGGTGCCGGGCAGAAGTCCAGGACCCAGCGGAGGTTGGAGGGAGTGCGTGGCACACACGCGTGAGGACGGTGTGTTGGAGCCCGTGGGCGTCCCTTCCGGGCACAGGGGGCAGCCCTGTCAGACACCCCACAGCGCCTCCTGTTGAATACAGGTCCGGGCTCGGGTGGCCGTGGGGTCCTGGGGACCAGATGCCAAGAGCCGCCCCTGGGTGCACAGAGCTCGGTGCGCAGGGCTGGCTCCGCGGGGCCCAGCTGCCTGGTTGGGACCTTGGCCCAGCCTGGGGCAGCCGTGGGGACAGAGCGGAGTCCCTCAGCGGCGCGGCCCAGGGAGGTTGGCCCTGCTGGGCAATGCCTCTGGACATGTCCTTCCAGCAGCGGCTGGGCCTGGGGGCCCTAACATGCCAGGGCCTTCCCACACCCCGCGCCATGACCTCCCGGCCCGGCCTATGGCTACGACCAGACCCAGCCGCCTAACGCACCAGGCCAGTGTGTAGGCAGGGCGGGCTTCGGGCGGGGCGGGGAGGCAGGGCACAGCCACCCCCCTCTACCCTGCGTATCCTCCGAGGAGTGGGCCACATTCCAGGAGGGCCTGGGGCCGGTGAAGCAGCCCAGCCATGAGACCCAACGGCACCTAGAGTGTGCTGTCCAGCTGCATGTGAGGGCAGGAAGGGCTGTGTCTGGGGGACTCCAAGTGTGGTGACTGCAGACAAGGCGCTGGATTTCTACTTTAATTTAATGAATTCAAATTTACACCAAAATTGTGTGCGGCGGTGAGTGGCGCCATGCTGGGCAGTGTGGCCTGGGGGCCTTGGAAGGACAGGGGCCTTCGGTGACACAGGAGCAGTCTTTACTGTGGAAGGGGACCCTGAGGCCTGATGGAGCCTTTGCAGCCTGAATTCGGGCCCATGGGTCTGACAATGCCATCTTCACATACACAAAGCCAAAAGGATGAAGGTACGGAGGTGCCCCGGGCCGGCGGCTGCTCAGCTCCCACCCTGGCAGTGGGCACATGCGGACACTGGGCTGGTGGGCGGCTCTGCACAGGAGCTCTGAGGACTACACACCGGGATGTGGGCTGTCTTCTACCCACTTTATTTTTTTAACGTAGGTACTATTTTTCAGGCATCACCTGGTCTGAAAAACTAAGCAGCACTCCGGTGCAGGTGGTGGCCTGAAGACCGGCCAGGCTGGCCGCGCTGCCCACCTGGCAGCAGCGTGGCCACCCCGAAGATACTCAGACCACGTCGCAGGGGGCCGGCAGGGCTGGAGAACAGAGGACTAGGGGTCCGGTGTTCACTCTCCATGGCTTACAAGAACCATCAACAATTCGGGAAGACCATGTGGCAAGGTTTAATAGGATTGGCATCTCCGAATGGTGTGTGGCATCTCGAGGGCGTCGCCCGGCCCGGCATTGCCATCGGTGGAGACTGCTGAATAGTGGCGACCGCAGGGCGACGGTGGGTTAAGAACCGTGGCTGGGAGTTCTTGCGTGGGGGCCTCAGAACCGGACAAATGTGGCGTCAATCTGCCGCACAGAAGGGAGGGCCAGCATGACCTTGCGCCGGTACTGGGGATCTCTCTGCAGGGGGTTGTGCTCCAGGTACACGGTCTCCAGGCCCCGGGCTCCCTGCAGCTCCTCCAGGTCGCTCCAGCTCTCCAGGAGATTGTCATTCATCTGGGGGACAGAGACGAGGACAGAGGTTACCCGTCAGCCGGCCTCCGGCCTGGGACCCAGACCCAGGGGGTGTGAGCCCACCAGGCTTGGTGGTGGGCATCCTGGCACCTTGTGGACTCTCCCACAGCCTCTGAATTCTTCCCAGCAGAGTCTCGAGTGGAACCAAGGCCGTACCCTGGGGTTAGACCCAGGGCCTGCACAGAAGCGCTGGTGTGGGCTCAGCAGCTGGCCAGGCAAGGCTGTGCCTGGAGCACCGTGCAGTTGAGGCTGCTGTGCGCCACGCCCACACTCCCAGCCTCCTCCAGAGGGCCCCTGCGCATGCCCTAAGCCACGCTCACTGAGTGCCAGGGCCTCAGGGCAGGGCCCTGGTCCTGACGGCCTTGCCCTGGGTAGAGGGCGCCAACCCATGTGGACTGTGGGGGCAAGAGGAAGCGACGCAGGCTGTCACGCGGGGTGTGCACAGTGGAGGGCCACATGCGGCGCTCAGGCCGCAGTGTGTCACTACCTCAGGGACAGCCCGGGCCCCAAGCAAGACTCTGAGATCACAGAAGAGGCCCAGGACAGACACCAGCCGGCATGAAGAATGCTGCCAATGTCTAACCACCTGGATGAGCGAGCGTGGAACAAAGGCCACTTTCTGGGGTACTAATAGCAGCACGGCGAGGCGACATGGGGCCATCTCCACTCCTGCCCAGGCTGGCCCCAAAGCACGATCCTCAGAGCTCAACCTCCTAAGCAGGAAGGGTTAGAGGTGTGAGCCACCAGCGCCTGGCCATCCCTGTGTTTTTTTTTGGTTGGTCATGGGGTGTGAATTCAGGGATGGGTGCCAGCTCCGAGCCTCTTGTGCTTGAGCACAGCACAATGCCACTTCAGCCACAGCTCCACTTCTGGTTTTTGAGTAGTTAACTGATGACAAGCGTCTCACTGACTTTCCTGCACTGGCATGCTTTGAACCGTGATCCTCAGGTCTCAGCCTTCTGAGAAGCTAGGATGACAGGCGTGAGCCACCAGCGCCTGGCTTTCTTTTCCTTTTCTTTTTTAAAGCTTATTTAAATGAGCAGACATATCAGCATCAGGAAAATGCCACAAGTTATTCTTGTCATGAGAACTGAGTCTCCACAAGGCTAAGCACCACAGTGCCCGAGCAAGCCCACGTGGGTCCCACAGCACCACACAGCCGCCACGCTCCTCCTCCTCCTCCACACAGCCGCCATGCTCCTCCTCCTCCACACAGCCACCACGCTCCTCCTCCTCCTCCACAAGCCGCCACGCTCCTCCTCCTCCTCCACACAGCCGCCACGCTCCTCCTCCTCCTCCTCCACACAGCCGCCACGCTCCTCCTCCTCCTCCTCCTCCTCCACACAGCCACCACGCTCCTCCTCCTCCTCCACACAGCCGCCACGCTCCTCCTCCTCCTCCACACAGCCGCCACGCTCCTCCTCCTCCTCCTCCACACAGCCGCCACGCTCCTCCTCCTCCTCCACACCACACAGCCGCCACGCTCCTCCTCCTCCACACCACACAGCCGCCACGCTCCTCCTCCTCCTCACCACAGCCGCCACGCTCCTCCTCCTCCTCCACACAGCCGCCACGCTCCTCCTCCTCCTCCACACAGCCGCCACGCTCCTCCTCCTCCACACCACACAGCCGCCACGCTCCTCCTCCTCCTCCACACAGCCGCCACGCTCCTCCTCCTCCACACCACACAGCCGCCACGCTCCTCCTCCTCCACACCACACAGCCGCCACGCTCCTCCTCCACACCACACAGCCGCCACGCTCCTCCTCCACACCACACAGCCGCCACGCTCCTCCTCCTCCACACAGCCACCACGCTCCTCCTCCTCCTCCACAAGCCGCCAAGCTCCTCCTCCTCCTCCACACAGCCGCCACGCTCCTCCTCCTCCTCCACACAGCCGCCACGCTCCTCCTCCTCCTCCTCCTCCACACAGCCGGCACGCTCCTCCTCCTCCTCCACACAGCCGCCACGCTCCTCCTCCTCCTCCACACAGCCGCCACGCTCCTCCTCCTCCTCCTCCACACAGCCGCCACGCTCCTCCTCCTCCACACAGCCGCCATGCTCCTCCTCCTCCTCCTCCACAAAGCCGCCACGCTCCTCCTCCTCCTCCTCCACACAGCCGCCACGCTCCTCCTCCTCCACACCACACAGCCGCCACGCTCCTCCTCCTCCTCCTCCACACAGCCGCCACGCTCCTCCTCCTCCTCCTCCACACAGCCGCCACGCTCCTCCTCCTCCACACCACACAGCCGCCACGCTCCTCCTCCTCCTCCTCCACACAGCCGCCACGCTCCTCCTCCTCCTCCTCCTCCACACAGCCGGCACGCTCCTCCTCCTCCTCCACACAGCCGCCACGCTCCTCCTCCTCCTCCACACAGCTGCCACGCTCCTCCTCCTCCACACAGCCGCCACGCTCCTCCTCCTCCTCCTCCACACAGCCGCCACGCTCCTCCTCCTCCACACAGCTGCCACGCTCCTCCTCCTCCACACAGCCGCCACGCTCCTCCTCCTCCTCCTCCACACAGCCGCCACGCTCCTCCTCCTCCACACAGCCGCCATGCTCCTCCTCCTCCACACCACACAGCCGCCACGCTCCTCCTCCTCCTCCTCCACACAGCCGCCACGCTCCTCCTCCTCCTCCTCCTCCACACAGCCGCCACGCTCCTCCTCCTCCACACCACACAGCCGCCACGCTCCTCCTCCTCCTCCTCCACACAGCCGCCACGCTCCTCCTCCTCCACACCACACAGCCGCCACGCTCCTCCTCCTCCTCCACACAGCCGCCACGCTCCTCCTCCTCCACACCACATAGCCGCCACGCTCCTCCTCCTCCTCCTCCACACAGCCGCCACGCTCCTCCTCCTCCTCCTCCACACAGCCGCCACGCTCCTCCTCCTCCTCCACACCACACAGCCGCCACGCTCCTCCTCCTCCACACCACACAGCCGCCAAGCTCCTCCTCCTCCTCCACACAGCCGCCACGCTCCTCCTCCTCCACACCACATAGCCGCCACGCTCCTCCTCCTCCTCCTCCACACAGCCGCCACGCTCCTCCTCCTCCTCCTCCACACAGCCGCCACGCTCCTCCTCCTCCTCCACACCACACAGCCGCCACGCTCCTCCTCCTCCACACCACACAGCCGCCACGCTCCTCCTCCTCCACACCACACAGCCGCCACGCTCCTCCTCCTCCTCCTCCACACAACCGCCACGCTCCTCCTCCTCCACACCACACAGCCGCCACGCTCCTCCTCCTCCTCCTCCTCACCACACAGCCGCCACGCTCCTCCTCCTCCACACCACACAGCCGCCACGCTCCTCCTCCTCCACACCACACAGCCGCCACGCTCCTCCTCCTCCTCACCACAGCCGCCACGCTCCTCCTCCTCCTCCACACAGCCGCCACGCTCCTCTTCCTCCTCCACACAGCCGCCACGCTCCTCCTCCACACAGCCGCCACGATCCTCCTCCTCCTCCTCCACACAGCCACCACGCTCCTCCTCCTCCTCCTCCTCCACACAGCCGCCACGCTCCTCCTCCTCCACACCACACAGCCGCCACGCTCCTCCTCCTCCTCCTCCACACAGCCGCCACGCTCCTCCTCCTCCTCCTCCTCCCCACCACACAGCCGCCACGCTCCTCCTCCTCCACACAGCCGCCACGCTCCTCCTCCTCCTCCTCCACACAGCCGCCACGCTCTTCCTCCTCCTCACCACCACACAGCCGCCACGCTCCTCCTCCTCCACACCACACAGCCGCCACGCTCCTCCTCCTCCTCCTCCACACAGCCGCCACGCTCCTCCTCCTCCACACAGCCACCACACAGCCGCCACGCTCCTCCTCCTCCACACAGCCGCCACGCTCCTCCTCCTCCTCCTCCACACAGCCGCCACGCTCTTCCTCCTCCTCACCACCACACAGCCGCCACGCTCCTCCTCCTCCTCCTCCACACAGCCGCCACGCTCCTCCTCCTCCTCCACACAGCCGCCACGCTCCTCCTCTTCCTCCTCCACACAGCCGCCACGCTCCTCCACCTCCTCCACACCACACAGCCGCCACGCTCCTCCTCCTCCACACCACACAGCCGCCACGCTCCTCCTCCTCCTCCTCCACACAGCCGCCACGCTCCTCCTCCTCCTCCTCCTCCACACAGCCGGCACGCTCCTCCTCCTCCTCCTCCACACAGCCGCCACGCTCCTCCTCCTCCACACCACACAGCCGCCATGCTCCTCCTCCTCCTCCTCCACACAGCCGCCACGCTCCTCCTCCTCCTCCACACAGCCGCCACGCTCCTCCTCCTCCACACCACACAGCCGCCACGCTCCTCCTCCTCCTCCTCCACACAGCCGCCACGCTCCTCCTCCTCCTCCACACAGCCGCCACGCTCCTCCTCCTCCTCCACACAGCCGCCACGCTCCTCCTCCTCCTCCACACAGCCGCCACGCTCCTCCTCCTCCACACCACACAGCCGCCACGCTCCTCCTCCTCCACACCACACAGCCGCCACGCTCCTCCTCCTCCACACAGCCGCCACGCTCCTCCTCCTCCACACAGCCACCACGCTCCTCCTCCTCCACACCACACAGCCACCACGCTCCTCCTCCTCCTCCACACCACACAGCCGCCACGCTCCTCCTCCTCCTCCACACAGCCGCCACGCTCCTCCTCCTCCACACAGCCACCACACAGCCGCCACGCTCCTCCTCCTCCACACAGCCGCCACGCTCCTCCTCCTCCTCCTCCACACAGCCGCCACGCTCTTCCTCCTCCTCACCACCACACAGCCGCCACGCTCCTCCTCCTCCTCCTCCACACAGCCGCCACGCTCCTCCTCCTCCTCCACACAGCCGCCACGCTCCTCCTCTTCCTCCTCCACACAGCCGCCACGCTCCTCCACCTCCTCCACACCACACAGCCGCCACGCTCCTCCTCCTCCACACCACACAGCCGCCACGCTCCTCCTCCTCCTCCTCCACACAGCCGCCACGCTCCTCCTCCTCCTCCTCCTCCACACAGCCGGCACGCTCCTCCTCCTCCTCCTCCACACAGCCGCCACGCTCCTCCTCCTCCACACCACACAGCCGCCATGCTCCTCCTCCTCCTCCTCCACACAGCCGCCACGCTCCTCCTCCTCCTCCACACAGCCGCCACGCTCCTCCTCCTCCACACCACACAGCCGCCACGCTCCTCCTCCTCCTCCTCCACACAGCCGCCACGCTCCTCCTCCTCCTCCACACAGCCGCCACGCTCCTCCTCCTCCTCCACACAGCCGCCACGCTCCTCCTCCTCCTCCACACAGCCGCCACGCTCCTCCTCCTCCACACCACACAGCCGCCACGCTCCTCCTCCTCCACACCACACAGCCGCCACGCTCCTCCTCCTCCACACAGCCGCCACGCTCCTCCTCCTCCACACAGCCACCACGCTCCTCCTCCTCCACACCACACAGCCACCACGCTCCTCCTCCTCCTCCACACCACACAGCCGCCACGCTCCTCCTCCTCCTCCACACAGCCGCCACGCTCCTCCTCCTCCTCCACACAGCCGCCACGCTCCTCCTCCTCCACACCACACAGCCGCCACGCTCCTCCTCCTCCACACCACACAGCCGCCACGTTCCTCCTCCTCCTCCACACAGCCGCCACGCTCCTCCTCCTCCTCCACACAGCCGCCACGCTCCTCCTCCTCCTCCAAACAGCCGCCACGCTCCTCCTCCTCCACACCACACAGCCGCCACGCTCCTCCTCCTCCTCCTCCACACAGCCGCCACGCTCCTCCTCCTCCACACAGCCGCCACGCTCCTCCTCCTCCACACAGCCGCCACGCTCCTCCTCCTCCCAACCCCCAAGGAACTGCCAACACCTCTCCTCACACGCTGCTCCTCCTCGTGGCCTGTGGTACCTCTCTCATTAACACGAGGTAAAGTCCAGGTCAGATGACTGCAGAGAACCACAGGCAGATTCCTTCTGTAGCGGAGCTGCAAGGAGCATGCTCACCCCCACCCGGGCACGAAACCCTGATCAAATGGCCACTCTGGCCAAACCACGCAGAGACGGGGCTTCTCACAGCTCTGTGTGCGTAGCTATCATTGCAGTCTCGGCCGGGTACAGACACTGTCCCGGGGGTGGTGGGCTGGGACTCTGCACGTCAGACAAGCTGGGGCAGCAGAAACTGCTGAGGTGAAATGCCTCGGAGCAGCCGGACCACACGAACCCCAGAACACCCACCTGCCTTGTCACATGACACGCCTGGCATCAAGGCCTCCAAGACAGAAAGCTTGGCATTCATTCATGCGTTTTACTCAATGGGACTGGGGTAGCCAAAGGGCCATTAATCCACTCAAGAATGACACTTACCCAGAATTCTTGCAGTTCTGTTAGATGGCTGACATTTTCAATCTTTTTGATTCTATTTGATGCAATGTCCAACATTGTGAGTTTGTTCTAAAACAAGAAAACAAAATTTCTCCTGGATTATTGTAGTTCTATTTCTATTGCGTTCTTGGTGTTCTGATTCCAAATTTTCCCAGGGGGGGGACGGTACCGCATGACCTTGGACACACCATGCTGTTGGCTAGGTTCTTAAGTGTTGGCATGTTTTATTTGATTTGAGACTTATTAAATGTACCCTAAAACCTGGGAAAATTTGGAATCAGAACACCAAGAACAAAAGTTCAGAAAACCGGGCACTGGTAGCTCATGCCTGTAATCCTAGCCACTCAAGAGGCTGAGATCTGAGGATCTCAGCACATGCCTGTAACCTGTTATTTAAGAGGCAGAGACAGGATTAGTACCCACAAAATAAAAAACAAACACCATGGTTCAGCTGGCAGAGTGACTGCTTAGTAAGCAATGGCTTTCAGTGACACCACGTGAACCCGGGCCAGAGGCTGGTGTAGGCACACGCTAGACTAACGAAGGGAACCCTGGGCCACAGAAGAGGCAATCAAGAAGATGGGTCTGGCTGGGGTGGCAGCTCACACCTGTGACCCTAGTTACTCAGGAGGCTGAGATCTGAGGATCACGGTTCAAAGCAGCCTGGGCAGGAAAATTTGTGAGACTCTTAGCTCTAATAAACCACCAGAAAACTGGAAGTGGCACTGTGGCTTAAGTGGTAGAGCGCTAGCCTTGAGCTGAAGAGCTGAGGGACAGCGCCCAGGCCCAGAGTTCAAGCCCCATGATCAACCAAAAAAAAAAGATGGTATCACGGACACTGGTGGGAGGATCTGTGTGGCACTTGGTGCTGGGAAAGGGGCCACGGCCGCCCACCACGAAGATGAATCCCGGATCGGTTAAGAGCTAAAATTTAGATTACGGTGAACTTTACCATAGCACAGAGTGTTTGCTTTATCTTTAAGGCTTCGGGCCAGGTTTCTTTCCCACCAGCCCAGGGCTGTGTGCTTTACTGCAGCTGTGCCCCACCCTGGGGGGCACCATGGGGCCTGCGGTGGGCCAGGCCAGCACACACACCCTTCCTGAGACACCTCAATGCTCACTCTGCAAAACAGAAGCAAACACCGGCTTCACACGGCTACCACAACACTGGAGGAATGTGACCAAACTTCCCATAGGCAGATTTCGAAAAGTTTTCTGTAGATGTTGGTGAAATGAAATTCGAAACAGCTTTTTCCCCCCCCCCTCCAGACCAGCACGGATGACTGAACTAGACTGAGCTCGGGCACCAAGGGCAAGGGAGCCTGTGGTGAGGCTGACGTGCAACCCTGGCGACTCATCTGCTGACCCGGCTGGGGGGGGGCGGAGCAGGTAGGGGCAGGGGTGTGGGGACGGGTCCCTGTCAGAGAGGCTCTTCTGAGCGGGAAAGCGGGAGAACAGGACGGGCTGGCGCTGGGAGCTGGAGGAGGAGGAAGAGAGCTCCAGGACTCCAGGGCAACCACGCTGGGAGACACATGCGCGCACGCGCGCACACACACACACACACACACACACACAGAGATACACACAGATACACACACGCACACACACACACACACACACACTAGACACATGCGCGCGCACACACACACACACACACACACAGAGATACACACACACACACATAGACACATGCGCGCGCGCACACACACACACACACACAGAGATACACACACACACACACACACACACTAGACACATGCGCGCGCACACACACACACACACACACTAGACACATGCGCGCGCACACACACACACACACACTAGACACATGCGCGCGCGCACACACACACACACATACACACACACACACACGCACACACACACTAGACACATGCGCGCGCGCACACACACACACACACACTAGACACATGCGCGCGCGCACACACACACACACAGATACACACACACACACACACACGACACATGCGCGCGCGCACACACACACACACAGAGATACACACACACACACACCACACACACACACACAGAGATACACACACACACACACACACACACTAGACACATGCGCGCGCACACACACACACACACACACACTAGACACATGCGCGCGCACACACACACACACACACATACACACACACACACACGACACATGCGCGCGCACACACACACACAGAGATACACACACACACACACACACCACACACACACACAGAGATACACACACACACACACACTAGACACATGCGCGCGCACACACACACACACACAGATACACACACACACACACACATACACACACACACACGACACATGCGCGCGCACACACACACACACAGAGATACACACACACACACACACACACTAGACACATGCGCGCGCACACACACACACACACACAGATACACACACACACACACACTAGACACATGCGCGCGCACACACACACACACAGATACACACACACACACACACTAGACACATGCGCGCGCACACACACACACACACTAGACACATGCGCGCGCGCACACACACACACACACACAGATACACACACACACACTAGACACATGCGCGCGCGCACACACACACACACACACAGATACACACACACACACACACACTAGACACATGCGCGCGCGCACACACACACACACACTAGACACATGCGCGCGCACACACACACACACACAGAGATACACACACACACACACATACACACACACAGATACACACACACACACAGACACATGCGCGCGCACACACACACACACACACACACTAGACACATGCGCGCGCACACACACACACACACAGATACACACACACACACACACACACACTGCCTCCTGAAGAGCTGGAGGAGGAAGAGACCTCCAGGACTCTAGGACAACTGGGCTGGGAGATGGACACACAGACACGCACGCGCGCGTGCGCACACACACACACGCGCACACACACACACACACACACACAGAGCCTCCTGAAGAGCTGGAGGAGGAAGCGACCTCCAGGACTCTAGGAAAACCGGGCTGGGAGACACGGACACCAACACCGACACCGACACGCACGCCCGCACGCCCTCCTGAAAAGCAGCTGAGCCAAGCTTGCCCTGTGGCCCCGTGGGCTGAGGAAGCTGAGAGAGGCGGGAAGTGCGGTGCTGGGCAGGAGGGAAAGGGACTTCGGGTGATCCCAGCTGCCCTGGAGCGGAGGCGGGAGGGGCTTTGTCTGCACATCCGTGTCAGCTGTTTGCCACACTCGGGGCAGAGCTCATGGCTCAGCAGAGGTGGGAAGGCGGCCTGCTTTCAAGACAGTGAATTTACCTACGACCAGCCCTGGAGGGCAGCGTGTGCCAGCTGCCAGCTCCCGGTCCCATTCACTCCTAGACAGACCGGCCATGAGGTGCTTACATTGTTCTCAAGGCCCTCGATGACCTCGATGCCGTTGTGGCTGAGGTACAGCTCCCGAAGGTTCACCAGGCTCTGAAGACCCTCAATCTTTGTCAGCCGGTTACTCTGCAAGAGGAAGAGTGGATAGCTATCAGAGCCATGTAGAGGAAAGCGCAGGAATGGCATCGGGAAAGTAAGCTCTCTTTATTATTCCGAGGAATCCTAAAAACATCATTTCACTTAAAATGTGCTGGAATGGGACTTGTGCAGCCTGTTGTACTAGAAAATTCATACATGGAAGTTCTTTGACAAGCTACCTCTACAAGATAAGTAGCATATGAAGACATCACATGAAGAAGGGGGAAAGAGGATGGTCAGATTGTTTACAACTATAAAAACAACAATGAAACCTGTTTAGGAAAGGGAGATGGAGAGAGGGTGAGACTGACGGCAATGTATTATCAGGTGGAAATGTAACAAATGAAATCCCTCACTGTTTAAGATAATTTAAAAAGGGCTGGGAAGGTGGCTCAGTGGTAAAGCGCTTGCCTTGCATGCCAGAGGCCCTGGGTTTGATTCCTCAGTACCACAAAAGCAAAAAGAAAAAAGCCAGAAATGGCGCTGTGGCTCAAGTGGTAGAGCGCTCGCCTTGAGCTGAAGAGCTGAGGGACAGAGCCCAGGCCCAGAGTTCAAGTCCCATGACTGATAAAAAAAAAAAAAAAGTCGCCGGGCGCTGGTGGCTCACGCCTGTAATCCTAGCTACTCAGGAGGCTGAGATCTGAGGATCGCGGTTCAAAGCCAGCCCAGGCAGGAGAGACCGTGAGACTCCTATCTCCAATAAACCACCAGAAAACCGGAAGTGGCGCTGTAGCTCAAGTGGTAGAGCGCTCGCCTTGAGCTGAAGAGCTGAAGGACAGCGCCCAGGCCCAGAGTTCAAGCCCCACGGCCGACAAAAAAAAAAAAAAAGTCACATGTACAGAGTAATTTGAAATTAAAAGAGATTCTTTTGGGGCTTGAACTCGGGGCCTAGGCACTCTCCTTGAGCTCTTTTGCTCAAGACCAGCACTCTCTGACTGAGCCACAGCGCCACTTCTTTTTTTTTTTTCCTGATGGTTTACTGGAGATAAGAGTCTCACAGACTTTCTTGCGCAGGCTGGCTTTGAACCATGATCTTCAGATCTCAGCCTCCTGAGTAGCTAGGATGACAGGCACAAGCCACCAGCACCTGGCTTAAACATTCTTACTTCTTTTAGAGTATATTGCAACTTAACTAGACATTAAGAATTTCTTTTCCAGAGTAAGCGCACAACATCTTTTTTTAAAGAGGTCTCTTGTGCCTGGACAGGCAGCTGGTGGGAGCTGCCACCCAGGGTTTCTCCAGATTCTCAGTCACGTTTCTCCTCGGGGTGGGATTGCACTGAATTGCTACCCACAGAAAAGGTAAACAAGAGCCAACATGCCCTCCAGGGCTGCGCTCAGCATAGCCCTGATGACAGCTTCCGCTGCGCCTCACACTACAAGAGGACTGAGGCGAGCTTTTGTGCTGCCCAAGGCTTTGATAACTTACCCAACTGCTAACAGGACAAGACAACCTTTAGAGATGAAATTTTTGCCAAAAGCATTTCACACTTTAATCCTAGCTACTCAGGAAGCTGAGACCTGGAGAATCTCTAATTGAACCCAGCCCAAGCAGCAAAGTCCTTGAGATTCCATTTTCAATTAACCAGCAAAATGGTAGACTGGAGAAATGGCTCAAGTGTGAGCAAGCAAGCTGAGTGAAGAGTGTGAGCCTTGATCTAAGTCTTAGTACAGGCACAGAAAAAAAAGAATAAAAAATTAAACCAGACACCCGTGGCTTATTCCTGCAATCCTAGCTGTCCAGAAGACAGATGGGAGCACGAGGCTCAAAGCTATCTGGTCAGAAAAGCCTGTAATGCTTATCTTCAGTTCACTAGCATAAAGCCGAAACTGGAAACATGGCTTGTGTAGTAAAGCACCAGTCATGAGAGAATAAAGCCCAGAGAGTGAGGCACTGATCTCCAACTCCAGGAAAAAAAAAAAAGAAAAAGGAAAACAAATCAATAAAAAATTTAAATGTCCAAACTATAAATAGATCTAAAAAAATAAATAAAATTTAAAAATCAGTGTCCGCTTGGGCAGCACATATACTAAAATTGGAACGATACAGGAAGATTAGCATGCCGCTGCACAAGGATGACACGCAAATTCGTGGAGTGTTCCACATTTTTTTATTGTAACCCCTCTGTGCAGTATTTTCACAATAAAAAAAATTACTCAAGTAAAAAAAAAATCATACACATCTGGGCACCGGTTGCTCACGCCTGTAATCCCAGCTACTCAGGAGGCTGAGATCTGAGGATCACAGTTCAAAGCCAGCCTGGGCAGGAAAGTCCGGGAGTCTCTTATCTCCAATAAACCACTAGAAAACCAGAAGTAGTATAGTGGCTCAAGTGGTAGAGCACTCGCCTTGAGCTGAAGAGCGCAGGGACAGTGTCCAGACCCAGAGTTCAAATCCCATGACCGATAAAAAAAAGAAAAAAGAAAAAAAAATCATACACAGGCTCACGCCTGTCATCCTAGTTACTCAGGAGGCTGAGGTCTGAAGATTAAGTTTAAGGCCAGCTGAGGAAAGCTTGTGAGACTGCCCTTTTTCTCTTTTGGTTGTGGGCTTGAACCCAGGGCCTGGGCACTGCCCCTGAACCTCTTTGTGCTCTAGCGCTCTTCCACTTGAGCTACAGCACCACTTCCAGTTTTGGGGTGGTTCATTGGAGGTAAGAGTCTCACTGGACCTTTCTGTCTGGGCTGGCTTTGAACCTCGATCCTCAGATCTCAGCCTTCTGAGTAGCTAGGATTACAGGTGTAAGCCACTGGTACCCAATGCCTGTGAGAGTCTTATCTCCAATTAACCTTTGGAGAACCTGAAGTGGAGCTGTGGCTCAGAGTGGTAGAGTGCTAGCCTTGAGCAATAGAGCTCAGGGCCAGCGCCCAGGTCCTGAGTTCAAACCCCCAAATTGACAAAATAAACTGAAATAAAATGTCGGTTTGACACATGTATGGAGCCTCTGAAGTCTACTTGAATTACTGATAGTAAAACAAAGCACTAGTTGTGGACACAGAGACAGACAGAAATCAGTGGTTGGCCTAGGTTAGACCACAAGTCTGTCATATCAGCGCGGAGGGGGCTGAGGCAGCAGGCCTGAGCTGGCGCCTGCGTGGGTTTCGCGGTGAGCTCAGCCGGCGGGTGGCGGGTGGCTGCTGGGGACGCGCGGCGGAAGTGGGAGCATCAATACCTGCATGCTGAGGACTGTCAGGTTGGTCAGTGCGTCCAGGTTCTGAAGCTTAGTAATTTTGTTTTTCCCCAGAAACAAACTCTCCAGGTTGGTTAATGTGTCGATATTTTCAATTGCCTGTGAAAAGGACGGAGCAGTCAGGACTGTGGCCAGCAAGCTGAGGCAGGGAGAGGCTGGGCTGAAGGCATGGTGAGCTACATGCCCCGCGCTGTGACACTGGACACCTTTCCATTTTGTTCAGGGAGTCTTCCAGTCAAACAGTGTGGAAAGTACTGTAGTCCTCAAAGTCTAGGAAGTGCTGGGCAGTCTAAGACCTTGCTTGGGCATGCGACCTCAAGCTGTCAGCTCCTAGGCTGTGTCTGGGGAACTGGGGATGGTTTAACAAGATCTTATCTCTTTCAGTTCTCTACCCTGAGCAGGTGTGCTATCTGACACGGCATCAGACACATGCACTCCCGAGAGCCTGGTCCTCCAGGAGGCTGGCTGCAGGAACTGTGGCCAAAGGTATTAGGATGCTAGAATGCCTTGCGGATGCTTTCTGTCTCCCCTGCTCAGTCCAGGCTCCCCTCCACTGCTGCCCTTGACCTCACTGCATGCTCTTCTACTCGACCTAAATCCTAGATAGGGCCCGGCTTCTTGTTCGATCCCTTGCATTTTGCATGGCAGGTTGTTTAATGACAGAGTACTGGCCTCTTGATTTCCCTCCTCTCAGAAAGCACTCTTTCAAATAGATTAAAGCCTATTCATAAGCAGAGGTGCCTGCAGTACCTGCCAGCCAGCGTGCAGCCCATCTCAGCCACATGACTGACTGGGTGTGCCTAGCTGGGGAGCCAGTACTAATGGCGAGCCACTTCCTTCTGCAAAGCTCTGAGGGGCAGGTCTGAGGGCAGAGGGCCTGTTAGCACAGTGCTCTGGGGACAGGTCTGAGGGAGGGCTGGGCTAGCACAGTGCTCTGGGGACAGGTCTGAGGGAGGAGGGCTGGGCTAGCACAGTGCTCTGGGGACAGGTCTGAGGGAGGAGGGCTGGGCTAGCACAGTGCTCTGGGGACAGGTCTGAGGGAGGAGGGCCCAGCACACTGCTCTGGGGAAAGATTCTGAGTGGCAAGGGTGTACAAGCCTGGGAAAGTCATCCTTGAGGCTGAAGTGAGCAGGAGCAGGTTTAAATGCAAAGGGCACAGGGTGCCTAGCCAGGAGCGGCCTGAAGCTGGGTTAGGACATGGGTGGAGAACAACTGAAATCTGCCTGCAGAAAGACCAGACCGCTGAGCAGCCTGTGTCCTTACTAACAGACTTCCAGTGAGCATTTTCTTTGAGAAAGTTTTTGTGCCATGTTCCTGAAAAACTACACCGCACAAGAAAAACCCAGGCGAGGGGTTGGAAGAGGCAAGTACAAGGCTCTGGCTTCACCCATACAACCCGACGCAAACAGGTAGCCCCTGCAGACGCACCACCCACACAGCACCTCTGGACCCCAGCAGCGCCGTCCGCACCTACCCGGATGCGGTTAGACCCCAGCTCCAGCATCTGCAGTTGATGTAAGCTGCTTATGTTCTCAATTTTATTGATTTTATTGTTGACCAAGAAGAGTTTCTTCAGCCTCGTCAATTTGTCAATCCCTTCAATGTTTCTCAGTAGATTAAAAGAAATATCTAGAATCCTGAGGGCAAGCAGAACAACATTTTTAAATGAGTGGAGTTTGCTTCACTCTGCAGAGGCATTCCAGCCAGGGACTGGTCCTGTAGGGGACTGGCCACCACCCTGTCACCTTGCTCGTTCTAGCACTGCCAATGTGGGCCTGACTCAGGCTGTCCAGAAGCCCGAGCACCAGGGCTGTGGGCTCCTCCCGACATGGGGCTGCATCTGGGGCAAAAACCAGGGTCATTCATTCCCATGTCACAGCAGGACTCAGAGTCATGCCCTGCACATAGGAGAGACCTGAGAAACAGTCAACTAAAATTAAAACAAACAAAAATCACACCTATAATCTCAGCTACTTGGGCCTGAGCCTTGAGGATCTCAGTTCAAAGCCAGCCCAGGCAAGAAAGTCTGTGAGATCTTATCTCCAATTAAATCACAAAAAAAAGTGGCACTGTGGCTCTCAAGTAGCAGACTGCTGCCTTGAGAAAAAAAACAAACACTCAAGGACAGCATGAGACCCAGTGAACCTCAGGACCAGCAGGAAGAAAAAAAAGAGTAGAGATGTGGCTCAAATGACCCTGCCTGCCCAGCACGCATGAACCCGAGTTCCAAATCCAAAAGGCTTGCCCAACCAGCCAGTGATGACGGGAAGCTGTCCTGTCCTCCTGGAGCCTAGGATAGAGCAGGCAGACCTGGCAGCCAGGCCTGGGGAGGCCTCTAAGGTCAGGGCCCAAAGAGTGGTTGGTTCTGGGAAGACTGCCCCTCCCTGACTCCTGATTCCTCTGGGCCTGATGACTCACTCCAACTCGGTCAGTGCCTCCAAGTTTTCAATTTTCTTGATCTGGTTGTCGTAGAGATCCAGCTCTCGAAGACTCTGCAGCTCCTCAAGGTTCTCGATGCATTTGATTAAGTTCTGACGAAGGCAGAGCGTCTGGGGGAGGGAACTGGACTGACACAGCAGAAGGACACGGAACCTCCTTCCTAACCAGAGGGCACCCTCCTCCTCCCACTGTGTCCCAGAAAGGCTTTGACTTTCCAGAGGCCGGGAAGCAAAGGTGTGAGGCCAGAGCTGCTCCTGCCAAGGGGAGCTGGGACGGAGGCCCCATTGGGCGGAAGTGACCACCAGCTCTTGGTAGATTTGGGAGCTCAGGTGGGCTCATTGTACGCAGCAAACTTAGCGGGCTCGAGCTGAGGGTGGAAGACTGCAGAGCTCGACTAAAGGGAGCTCAGAGCCACAGCCATGTGTTCCAGGCTAGTGACAACACCGCTTCCAGGGGGAGGGGAGCCGGGGTCAGTGCCTGCCGCAGGTGGCCAGGACAGCGTTCCTCTCACCTTCACTTTCTTCAGCACCTCGAAGCCTTCAATCTTCCCAATTCGATAGTGGTTCAGGTCAACATCCTGAAACACAGAATTCAAGTTCAGCTGCATCCAGGGGCAGGCCCGCGTCCTGGGCAGGAGCTGTTAAAGGCTGCTGCCAGGAAGGGAGGGGATAGGAAGGGAGGGGAGGGGACACTGCACATCAGGTCTGTAACTGGCCCACGGCGGTAACACAGAGTTGCCAGGTGCTCACTGGTTTAGGTTTGATTTGTATTTTTTGTGTAAAACAGACCCATAAAATGAGTGAAGGTGAGGGCTCTCTCTAGCCTCCCAGCCCTTGGGTGCGGGGACAAGCCTCTCCCTGCACACTGACAGGGCCCTCATGACCAGCTGGGAGCTCCGGAGAGCGCTACAGTCAGCAGGCAATCATTCCTTATTTAGCCTGGCTGCTGGCTGCATGCATGCTGCTCTTCAGAGGTTGGGGGCGTGAGGCCCAATCCTGTGCGGTGCAGTCACTGGTCCTGGGTAACTTATGAGTCAAAGGCAGTTAACGTGTCACTCAGTCCTTGATGGTTAATGGGACTGCCATTTCTGATACTAAAGCAGCAAGAAGACAGGCAGGCAGGCTTCGCCGACTTTGCTGCAAGTCCTCCCGAGGATGACCCGAGAGCTAGTGTGACAGGCAGTGTTACCTCTGCATCTCGGTCCAGGCTAATGGTTTCCATATCCACAGCCAGCTCATGTTCCTCTGAAAACAGGAGAAAGAGAAAAGCCCACTCAGAACGACTCCTCTGACAAGAGGCACTGGTGAAGAGCAGCCGCTTCTGGCTAATGCTAAGACCTACAGCCCACAGACACCTCTGTGCAGCCAACTCCAAGGGAGATCAGCAGGGCAACACCTGAACATTCTGAGCTCTCTGGATTTAGCTATTGGCCACGGTCTCCAAACCTCTATTGAGCCCCTGAATTTCCAAAGGAAGGAAAGTGCAGTTTGACCTTACAGTGGGGAGGAGGGGAGCGGTTCCTGTGCGGGGCTGAGCCCAGACAGTGGGGAGGAGGGGAGCGGCTGCCTGTGCGGGGCTGAGCCCAGACAGTGGGGAGGAGGGGGAGCAGTTCCTGTGCGGGGCTGAGCCCAGACAGTGGGGAGGAGGGGAGCGGTTCCTGTGCGGGGCTGAGCCCAGACAGTGGGGAGGAGGGGAGCGGTTCCTGTGCGGGGCTGAGCCCAGACAGTGGGGAGGAGGGGAGCGGTTCCTGTGCGGGGCTGAGCCCAGACAGTGGGGAGGAGGGGAGCGGTTCCTGTGCGGGGCTGAGCCCAGACAGTGGGGAGGAGGGGAGCGGTTCCTGTGCGGGGCTGAGCCCAGACAGTGGGGAGGAGGGGGAGCGGTTTCTGTGCGGGGCTGAGCCCAGACAGTGGGGAGGAGGGGGAGCGGTTCCTGTGCAGGGCTGAGCCCAGACAGTGAGGGGGAGCGGTTCCTGTGCAGGGCTGAGCCCAGACAGTGAGGGGGAGCGGTTCCTGTGCAGGGCTGAGCCCAGACAGTGAGGGGGAGCGAGCCCAGTCCTTCTGGGAAGCACGCTGCTGGACTGCTGCCTTCTTGGAACCTGCACACTGGCAGCAGCCTATATGGGTTCCCTTCTTGTTTGTGGCAGAGAATCAGGCCATCATGCTCAGTGCATCACATGCTCTAGGATGTGCCTGTTGGAAAGTAGCCTGTATCTATAAATGCTCTTTCTCCAAAGAGCAAAACAGCATGAAGCAGAGCTCAACAGACAGGATCAAAGAGCCCCAATGAATAATTTAAACACACTTCTTGAGTGGAAGCTTGGTGAACTAACTCCAGCAGAGTGCCAGCATCTAGATTTCAGGCCCCACCTCCAGCAGATAGCTAGCTTCCTCTGTTGGGTGTGTGTGTGTGTGTGTGTGTGGAGGAGGGGCCCTGAAAACCTCTTTCATGGCTGCCATCAACAGTCCTAGATGAGTAGCTCCTTCCTCTATTCATTTAAGCAGAATCTAGTTAAGCATGGATGACAGTCAAGAGGGAGAACCTAGATATGAGAGATGCAAACTCACATGTGCGCACACAGAACTTACAACACTGTGAAGGGTGATAGTTTTCCCTTCGCATCACCAAATATTCAGTCACTGCTCATCTTTCCCAGTTCTGTAGTTTCTTTGTCCTTTCCTTTTAGTTCAGAAAGGCTGTTGCTAGGTAGCTCAGACTGACATCAAACTTGCTATGTAGCCTAGGCTGGCCTTGAACTCCTGATCCTTCTGCTTCAGCCTCTGAAGGCTAGTAGTTCAGGTATGTACCACCATGTCCAGCTCCACAGATGGTACTTCTGTGAAGCTAGATGAAAATGGGTTGTTTGTCTCATGGTGCTGCTGCAGGTCTGGTCTCTGCAGTCTCTCGCCTGTTTTCTGTAATCTAGTCTGCTTGGATCTCACCGGGGCTCTTTCTTCTGCCTCAATTTCTCAAGAGCAACCCCGTACTTGCTTCAGCAATGGGACTGGCTCCCACAACTTGGACCGCGTGTTCCTGGCTGGTTCCCCAACAAAATGTGACTTATGTAGTCAGCCTGCTCAGCAACTGAAAGCCTCCGAAAGAGGACCCCACGTGGAGCAGCTTAAGGTCCCACCTGGCTAGATTTAGTGTTTTTTGGTGGTACAGAGCCTTATGCTTACTAGGCAGGTATTCTACCACTTTTTAGCCATACTTCTGGCCCTTTTGAGTTTAGTATTTTTTTTTTTTTTTGTCAGTCGTGGGGCTTGAACTCTGGGCCTGGGCGCTGTCCCTCAGCTCTTCAGCTCAAGGCGAGCACTCTACCACTTGAGCTACAGCGCCACTTCCGGTTTTCTGGTGGCTTATTGGAGATAGGAGTCTCACGGTCTCTCCTGCCCGGGCTGGCTTTGAACTGTGATCCTCAGACCTCAGCCTCCTGAGTAGCTAGGATTACAGGCGTGAGCCACCAGCGCCCGGCTTAGTATTTTTTTTTTTAAGATAGGGTGTTTTTGGCCTAGAAGGTTAGCCTTGAACAGTGATACTCCTACTATGCCTCCCATGTAGCTGGGGTTACAGATGCACACCGTCATGCTTAGCTTATTAGCTGAGAGACTACCTTGCTAACTTATGGCTCTGGTTGGCTTCAAACCTGTAATCTTCATTTCTACCCACTGAGTATCTGGGATTGTAGACATGTACCACCCTGTCCAGAATGAAACTGACTTTTCATGATGACTTATGTTTTGTGCCAGTCCTGGAGCTTGAAGGCAAGGCCTGAGCACTTCCCCAGTTTTTTTGCTCAAGGCCAGTGTTTTATCATTTGGGCCACAGTTCCACTTCTGGCTTTTCTGGTGTTTAATTGGAGATAAACTGGGGGGGGGGGGGGGGGGGGGAGGAGGGGGCGGGGAAAGGGGAGGCAGACTTTGCACTGTAATCCTCAGATTCAGCATCTTGAAGAGCTAGGGTTACAGGTATTAACCACTGGTGCCTAGCTCGTGATGGCTTTTATACAATGATCAACAGTGGTTGGTTAAAAAGTGTTACTATAACTTACCCATAACTTTATAGGAGACTAATTAACCTAAAAACTAAATAAAAGGAACCATACATCTCCAAGAGACAGACTCAAACGCCCTAACACCCAAAGATAGCATTAATTAAGCATTAAAGATAGCGTTGTACCACTCGAAAACCAGAAGTGGCGCTGTGGCTCAAGTGGTAGAGTGCTCGCCTTGAGCTGAAGAGCTCAGGGACAGCACCCAAGCCCAGAGTTCAAGCCCCATGACCAACCAAACCCACCCCCCCCCAAAAAAAAAAAAAAGATAGCATTGTAATTAAGGTAGGATGGTGAAGTTCATTGGAAGGACCCTAGAAAACTTATAGGGGAAGGTGGTGATGGATCAGGCAGTACTGTTCCAGCCTCCCAAGATGTGAGGGCCCCGTCTGTAGTAGACCCAGCTCAGACACAGAGTCTACAGCTAGAGGGGTCCACCTGCACTACACTCAGGTCAGGACGCAGAGTCTACAGGTAGAGGGATCCAATCTGTAGTATACCAGCTCAGGACGCAGGGTTCACAGCTAAGGGATCCAATCTGTAGTATACCAGCTCAGGACGTGGGGTCCACAGCTAAGGGATCCAATCTGTAGTATACCAGCTCAGGACGCGGGGTCCACAGCTAAGGGATCCAATCTGTAGTATACCAGCTCAGGACGCGGGGTCCACAGCTAAGGGATCCAATCTGTAGTATACCAGCTCAGGACGCGGGGTCCACAGCTAAGGGATCCCGTCTGCAGTATACCAGCTCAGGACATGGGGTCCACAGCTAAGGGATCCCGTCTGCAGTATACCAGCTCAGGACGCGGGGTCCACAGCTAAGGGATCCCGTCTGCAGTATACCTAGCTCAGCTGTTCTCTCCTCCTACTTGAGCTGCTCACTGAACATGGAGCATTTAGCATTTTCTGGTTATGTCACATTCATTTTTTTTTTTTTTTGGGGGGGGGGGGTCAGTTGTGGGTCTTGAACTCTGGGCCTGGGTGCTGTCCTTGAGCTTTTCAGCTCAAGGCTCTACTACTTAAGCCACAGCGCCACTTCTGGTATTCTGGTGGTTAATTGGAGTTAAAAGTCCCATGGACTTTCCTGCCCAGGCTGGCTTTGAACCATAATCCTCAGTAGCTAGGATTACAGGTAAGAACCACCAGCACCTGGCCACACTCATATTTTTAAAAGAAAGCAAGATAAAATTGAAGTCAGGGAAAGTAAGTTAAAAAGTAATGGCTAACATGTTTGAATTTCTTTTTCATACATGAGACTTGAGCTCTGGGCCTGGGCGCTGTCCCTCAGCTCTTCAGCACAAGACTAGTGCTCTAGTACTTGAGCTCTGGGCCTGGGTGCTGTCCCTCAGCTCTTCAGCACAAGACTAGTGCTCTAGTACTTGAGCTCTGGGCCTGGGCGCTGTTCCTCAGCTCTTCAGCTCAAGGCTAGTGCTCTAGTACTTGAGCTCTGGGCCTGGGTGCTGTCCCTCAGCTCTTCAGCACAAGACTAGTGCTCTAGTACTTGAGCTCTGGGCCTGGGCGCTGTCCCTCAGCTCTTCAGCACAAGGCTAGTGCTCTAGTACTTGAGCTCTGGGCCTGGGCGCTGTCCCTCAGCTCTTCGGCACAAGACTAGTGCTCTAGTACTTGAGCCACGTGCCACTTCCGGTTTTCTGGTAGTTTATTGGAGATAAGAGTTTCATGGAAGCCAGGTGCCAGTGGCTCACGCCTGTAATCTTAGCTACTCAGGAGTCTGAGATCTGGGAATCACAGTTCAAAGCCAGCCCGGGCAGAAAAGTCCGTGAGACTCTTATCTACAATAAACCACTGGAAAACCAGTGGTGCTGTGGCTCACGCGGTAGAGTGCTTGCCTTGAGCTGAAGAGTGCAAGGACAGAGCCCAGGCCTAGAGTTCAAACCCCATGACAAAAAAAAAACAACAACAAAGTTTCATGGACTTCCCTACCTGAGCTGGTTTTGAACTGCAATCCTCAATCCAAATAGCTAGGATTGCAGGCGTGAGCCCCCAGGGCCTGGTTAACATGTTTGAATTTGTCTGAACTAATACTTAAATAATATTTGGCACTGGTGGTTCATGCCTGTAACCTTAGCTACTTAGTATGCTGAGATCTGAGGACTGAGGTTCAAAGCCAGCCCTGGAAGGAAGGTCCATGAGACTCTTTTCTCTAATACTCAGAAAAAGCCCAAAGTGGTACTGTGGCTCAAGTGATAAAGTGCTAGCCTTAAGCACAAAGAGGTTCAGGGACAGGGACAGTGCTCAGGCCCTGAGTTCAAGACCCAGGCCTGGCAAAAACTAAACAAAAACCAAACATTTAAATAAGTTTCAATTTTTCTCAGAACTGGAAAGACAGGTTCAGAGAGAACTAGAATTTGTTCTATTCTTCTGGAGGAGACAGCCTGGGATTTAGACAAAGTAAGCTCTAATCCCATTGGCTTTTTTTGCAGTACATGTGCTCTGGCAAGCAAGAAGGCCTTATTCTCATCTGTCAGGGACCACAGTCCTGTTACCAGCAAGATGACATTGCCAGCTAGGAAAAGAAGCCCAAAACAGTTCAGCTCCATGCCCCACGTCCTCCATGGTCACCTACAGTCTCAAAGGTACAGACCTGAGCTTCTCTATGACTAAGCCCAACGGGAGGACTGTGCCCAAGCCCGTGGTCCACCCACATCACTCCCCGAGTACTGACACTGAAGTTCCACACCAAAAACTATGCGTACTTTTGGGGCAATTGCCTCTTCTCTTAAAATTCAGTTGCCATGGTTACCAATAATCTTTGCTGGCACACAGTACAACGCTATTTTAAAAATCAGCGATGTTTTAAAGAATTTATTTTTATAAGAGTAAGGCATGATTATGAATACCTGAACAAGTCACACATTGCCTGCAGATCTGGAAATGCAGAAGGCAGACGCTCCTGTCAAACCTCAGCAGTGCTGATGTGTTTTATTTTTAGGTAGTAAACCACATTTTCACATTTAATTGAAAGTAAGATTTCTGGTTGGGTACTGGAAGCTCATGCCTGTAATCCTAGCTACTCATAAGGCTGAGCTCTGAGGACTACTGTTTGAAGCCAGCTATGGTAGACAAATCTGAGACTAACAAAAAACTGAAAGCAAAGGTATGGCTCAAATGGTAGAGCACCAACCTTTGAGCAAAAAAGCCAAGTGAGGGTATAAGGCCTTGAGTCTCAGCATTGCCTCCCCAAAAACAACAATCTACACATATCCTGTTTAGATTTTTTTTTTTTTTTGCTGGTCCTGGGGCTTGAACTCAGGGCCTGGGTGCTGTTCCTGAGCTTCTTTTGCTTAAGGCTAGCACTATACCACTTTGAGCCACAGTGCCACTTCTGGCTTTTTCTGAATTCATTGGAGATAAGAGTCTCATGGCCTTTCCTGTCCAGGTTTGCCTTGAACTGTGATCCTCAAATCTCAGCCTCCTGAGTAATTAGGATTATAGGAATGAGCTACTGTCACCCAGCCTGCTTAGAATTTTTTGAAGCCATTAATAATCAATCTTGAATATCTGTGTTTACATGGCTCTCTTATTCTTTTCCATGTAAACTGATTCTCCTAAGCAAACATACAAAATGGTATGGGCCCTTATGGGGGTACAAAAAGCCACCAGAGAAAGCTACTTGGCTAGTTCACCAGCAAATAACCTTCCTAACATCCATCACCTTGGAGAAACGTGGTGGCACCAGAAGTGGCCCTGTACGAGTGCTCTGAGGAGACCGCTGCTATGTGGACAGGAAGTGGCCCGGAAGTGGCCCTGGGAGAGTGCTCTGACCGCTGCTATGTGGACAGGAAGTGGCCCTGGGAGAGTGCTCTGACCGCTGCTATGTGGACAGGAAGTGGCCCTGGGAGAGTGCTCTGACCGCTGCTATGTGGACAGGAAGTGGCCCTGTGAGTGCTCTGACCGCTGCTATGTGGACAGGAAGTGGCCCTGGGAGTGCTCTGACCGCTGCTATGTGGACAGGAAGTGGCCCTGGGAGTGCTCTGACCGCTGCTATGTGGACAGGAAGTGGCCCTGGGAGTGCTCTGACCGCTGCTATGTGGACAGGAAGTGGCCCTGGGAGAGTGCTCTGACCGCTGCTATGTGGACAGGAAGTGGCCCTGGGAGAGTGCTCTGACCACTGCTATGTGGACAGGAAGTGGCCCTGGGAGAGTGCTCTCACCGCTGCTATGTGGACAGGAAGTGGCCCTGGGAGTGCTCTGACTGCTGCTATGTGGACAGGAAGTGGCCCTGGGAGTGCTCTGACCGCTGCTATGTGGACAGGAAGTGGCCCTGGGAGTGCTCTGACCGCTGCTATGTGGACAGGAAGTGGCCCTGGGAGTGCTCTGACCGCTGCTATGTGGACAGGAAGTGGCCCTGGGAGAGTGCTCTCACCGCTGCTATGTGGACAGGAAGTGGCCCTGGGAGTGCTCTGACTGCTGCTATGTGGACAGGAAGTGGCCCTGGGAGTGCTCTGACCGCTGCTATGTGGACAGGAAGTGGCCCTGGGAGTGCTCTGACCGCTGCTATGTGGACAGGAAGTGGCCCTGGGAGTGCTCTGACCGCTGCTATGTGGACAGGAAGTGGCCCTGGGAGAGTGCTCTGACTGCTGCTATGTGGACAGGAAGTGGCCCTGGGAGTGCTCTGACCGCTGCTATGTGGACAGGAAGTGGCCCTGGGAGAGTGCTCTGACCGCTGCTATGTGGACAGGAAGTGGCCCTGGGAGTGCTCTGACCGCTGCTATGTGGACAGGAAGCACAGTAATCACCTAGCATGTTTCTTCAAGTCCAGGTGCACACAGGGTTCTGTCCCAGGCGATATTCCAGGGCCAACCTTCTCAGTAGTAGTGTTTGCCATCAGTGCAACTCCACAACACTGCACAACTGCACACTTCTGCAAGGGGCACAAGTGAGTCACTTGAGTGCCCTGGGCACACAACCACCTGCTCCAGCCTTCCCAGGACTGTCACACACTACCTGAGGATACATGTGCAACGCAACCAGCACATCTCATCCACACACATCCTTGCTCTCGACGAGTCTGAGGTTCTTAACGGCACCCAGTACCTTCCGCGCTCTCGTCTCCCTGCTCCACGCCATCCTTCAGGCTCTGCTGGCTGAGGTCTGCTACAATGCCACTGCTGCGCTTCTTGCCCTCCTCATCACCGGACTCTTCGGATTCAGCCCTCCTGTCAACTGAACCCACACCTGTCATGAGAATCCATGTCCACTTCATATGACTTTCTGAAGAACATTTGACAACTAACACCAGGTGTAAATCAGCACAGCTTCCTTCAGAAATAGTGGTTGAATTTAGCTCTGGACACACACACACACACACACACACACATACACACACACACACACTATTCCCTACATACTTGGGATGGCCAGGGTCACTGTGTCCAGCTTTTCATGGATTGAGATGAGGGTCTCATAAACTTTTATTGCTCAGGCTTGCCTTATATTTCGAAATTTGAGCTCCTGAATCTCAGCATCCTAAGTAGCTAGGATTACAGGCATGAGCCAGTATGTCTAGCTCTGACCCAATTTTTACAAAAGAGCACACTCTCAAGTGGAAGGAGGTTCCATTTCATATGTGCATTTCCCACTGTATCCAGCAAAGCACACTCAGGAAACACTAGTGTGTAAAGAAGATTCTTCTAAAATCCATCTCCCAAATCTCCATATCCATTCCTCCTTCCCGATCTAGTCACTGCCTTGGTTCCGTTATTACTGAAGGCTGGACTCTAGCTCTGCCTTCTTACTTATCTCTCTAATCTTGTTCTGTTTACCCTAGTCTTCATTTCCACTGAATCTGATCTTTGCTTTCATCTTGGTTGCATCTTGCCTCTAAGGATTCAGCTTTGGCAAATCACTTTCTTCTTCAAGTCTCAGACTCCCCATAGAAGAGAGCTAGTGGAGCGCCCAGCCTCAAGAGTTGTCAGGGTTACATTTTAAAAAGGCACAAGAACAGCTACCAGGGTATGACACACAGGAGAATTTAGCAAACAAACTACCAGGAGCACAGGAAGACCAAGTTCTGGGTCACAGCCCATGCACATCCTCCAGGAGGTGCCAAAGAATAGGAGGAGCCAAAGTGCAGCTTGTGACTATGGTGAGGGTGGTAGAGAGGGTCTGCAGCCTGGGACTGTCAATCACTCAACAAGAAAATAACTGTGGGGCTGGGCACAATGAGCTGGCAGGCAGGCAATCAAATCCCCAAGAGGAAGGTCGGAGTGAAGGCATTGGTGGTAGCAATAGAGGTGTCAAAGCACTGGAGCTGTTGAAGCAGTAAGCGTCAGAGCTGATAACGTGTGGGAGTGGAGTGGAGAAAAGCCTGGCTTTTGTATTTGCCCTTTACCAAGAAATGCAAATAGTGGAAGAGAATCAGAAGTGGGCTAGATGAGTGGGGAGAGGGGGAAAGAACCACTTTCATGCTCCAAAAGATTCAAGGATACCAAAGAGCCGGACCCCTAACCTGACCTTTTATATTACAAACAACTGTCACTCCACAGCCTTTTGCCTTTGCCTGGGTTTCCTTTCTATGGAATGATAACTGATTCCTCCCACCTGCATCCCACCTGTCCCCAACCTGGTGGGCAATGCAGCTGGCATCACTCCCAAATGTGCCTTCTACATCCCCAGCTCCAGGGCCTTTTCCCCCTAGCGCTCTTCACATGAAAATAGTGCTTGTTCATCTGGAGTTCTGTACCACTGCACCGGTGAAGCAAAAGCATTTAGGCACTCAAGAGACTTGACTGATTCTCCAGTTGGAGTGTGTGTGTGTGTGAAGATTGTGACTGTTCTTCTGATAGTCTCTACTACTCAATCAGAAGAGACTTGACTAGTTCTCCAGTTGGAGTGTGTACTGGAGTGCACACGCGCACCGGATTCGAAGTTTGCACATAATTATGCCGAAAAAGCATGGACAAGTTATACACACAAGGATGTGTTCGTGCGTGCATGCATGTGTGTATGTGTGTGTGTGTGTGTGTGTGTGTGAGAGAGAGAGAGAGAGAGAGAGAGAGAGAGACATAATTCCAACGAAGTGGAAAAGGAGGAAGAAAGTTGAATGTATCCTTTTGGAGATTCCGAAGGCCTAGAAAACAGCCATCGCCTCCAGCTCCCCGGAGCTCCTGGCCATGCCTTCGCCACATCCCATCCGCTCCCGAGTAGACCCTTCACCAGCCGCGAGAAGATCGGCACTGCGGGGTCCGCAGGTCCCCGCGCCCGGAGCCTCAGTTTCCCCGCGAGCGGAAGGAGGCCCGCCCCCTCCCGCCTGTCAATCTCCGAGTTCGCGGCGAGGCCCCCCCGCTTCGCCGTCTCCCCGGCACCGGCGGGCTCGCGCCACGCTCTGCCCCGGGCTCCGGTCCTTGCCAGCCGCTGCAGCCCTCGGGCCGAGACTGCCCGGGTCCAGCCTCCGCCGCCCCAGCCAGCCCGGCTGACAGTGCCGTGGTGCCGCGTCCCTGGCCAGATGCTCGGCCCCTCTTGGGCGAGGGGCCGTGCGAGCCCGCCGTCCCCTCCCGCCGCTCCAGGGCCGCTCACCCTCCATCATCTCCTGCGACTGTTGCTGCCCCGCGCCGCGCTCCGCCGCCATATTGGCTGCTCTTCCCCTTTCCGGAACCTGTCGCCTCAGGGCCCTGGACCAATCAGGGCTCCCGGCTCCGAGCCGCCAGCCAATAGGGGCCGGCGCGGCGTCCGGAGCCAGCGGGCCTGCGCGGGCACAGCGCCTCATGGGAGTTGTAGTTCCGGCGAACCTCGTCCCGCCTCCGACAGTGGCTGGGAGCTGGGGCAGCGCGAGAGTGAGGCCGTGCGGAAGCGGTGTCCCCGCAGCGCGCCCGAGCGCGGGACGTATCCGTAGCTCTGGGTTCTCCCGTGCCCACGTGCTGGGCTCGGAGGAGCGGCGCGGCCAGTTGCACGTGCATCCCCGACATCGGGAGTCTCGCGGCGGCGTCTGCACGATGGGCCGGGCGGCCAGAGCGACCACTCTCTCGGGCTCCCATAAGCCGCCTTTAGCGGACGCCCAGCACCGGCAGGTCGGCTCCCGGGCGCTCGCTGGCCGCCTTCTCCGCCTCCGTTCCGCGCCCACCGCCTTGAGGACGAGGCCTCCAAGAGGCGAGCTCCGTGACGTTCAGCCTCCCGACCCCGCGGCCGGATGAGGGCGTCCCACGGGCTAGGGGTCCGCTGGAGTCGCAGCCTTTTGGTTCCTCCGGGACGCCGTTGGAGGCGTCCGGTGCGTCCCTAGCAACCGTTTGCGCGGGCTCCGAGATCGAGCGCTCCAAGTTCCGCCCACTGGCACACGTGGTTGGTCGGTGGGGCCTGTCAATCCGCGCGAGTCTTCCTGCGATTGGCCCACGGGCTAGCCCGCGCACCGGCTCCCTCAGCGTCGTGCTGCTCGCTTGGCGGGGCGCTCCTCCCGAGATCCTCCCAGGTGAGACGCCCGTCCTCGGGGAGTCGTTTCCTAGGGCCGCGGTCGGCCGAGTCCCCGGCGACGGGGCGACCCAGCGTGCGCACCGGCCACGGCCGCCTGGGCTCCGGTGGGGGCGGGCTCCGGCCGTTTGCCCCGCCGGGTGGGAGGCGCACACCCGCGGGCTCGGTGTGCTCGCCTGGACGCGACCGCGTTTTGTCCGTTCGTGCGCGGCGCCCCTCGGCCCGGGGCGAGTGCGAGCAGGGCGCGCGGGCCGGCCGCTTCCCGGTCCTTGAGCGACCCGGCTCCGCCCGGCCCGGGGTCCGTCCTGACTCAGCTCCCTCCCCGGCTCACCCTCCGTCCAGCCCCGGGTCCGTCCTGACTCAGCTCCCTCCCCGGCTCACCCTCCGTCCGGCCCCGGGTCCGCCCTGACTCAGCTCCCTCCCCGGCTCACCCTCCGCCCGGCCCGGGGTCCGTCCAGCCCGGGGTCCGTCCAGACTCTGCTCCCTCCCCGGCTCACCCTCTGCCCGGCCCGGGGTCCGTCCTGACTCAGCTCCCTCCCCGGCTCACCCTCCGCCCGGCCCGGGGTCCGTCCAGCCCGGGGTCCGTCCTGACTCAGCTCCCTCCCCGGCTCACCCTCCGTCCAGCCCCGGGTCCGTCCAGCCCGGGGTCCGTCCTGACTCTGCTCCCTCCCCTGTGCACCTCCGTCCAGCCCGGGGTCCTCCCTGACTCAGCTCCCTCCCCGGCTCACCCTCCGCCCGGCCCGGGGTCCGTCCTGACTCTGCTCCCTCCCCGGCTCACCCTCCGCCCGGCCCGGGGTCCGTCCTGACTCAGCTCCCTCCCCGGCTCACCCTCCGCCCGGCCCGGGGTCCGTCCAGCCCGGGGTCCGTCCTGACTCAGCTCCCTCCCCGGCCCACCCTCTGCCCAGCCCGGGGTCCGCCCTGACTCAGCTCCCTCCCAGGCTCACCCTCCGCCCGGCCCGGGGTCCGTCCAGCCCGGGGTCCGTCCTGACTCTGCTCCCTCCCGGCTCACCGCCCACCCCTGGTCTCTCTCCTGGGTTCCTTTCTCAGGGCTGACTGCCTGTCTCTGGATCTCTAGTCCAGGGGATTGTGATTGCCCCGTTTCTTGTCTTGCCCTACATTGCACCTGGAAAGGCTGTAAAATGCGTGCCTGGTCCCGTTTCTCCCGAGAGTTGATTCCCTTAGAGTTAAATTTAGGGATAATTTCTGGACTGCCCAGGCTGACCCAGAGGCTCGCCAGGTCTCTTGCCCCTGCCCTGCTGCATACTGAACTTCTGTGCTTCTGTCCCGAAGTAAAAGGTCTTCGTTCATCTTCACCAGGGCCTGCAGTACACTTCTGGAAGGCCTTTGCGTTCCTTCAGTCTGGGAGGTGCCTGTTGCTCCTACCCTTAGTCACAGTGGTTGCCATTTGTGAACTCATTATAATGCCTCAATGCCAGTTACAGGCCAAGGGCTCCCAATGCCTATGGCAGTGAAGAAAGCAATTGTGAGAGACAAACAGGGCATGCTTGTCGAAAGCTAGATCGAAAATATACTGGGACAAGATAAACTATATAGGACTATATTCACACATGCTGAGACCACAGGAAGATAACTCTTAGGGGAAGAACCCAAAGGTACAATTCCTATGTGCTTTTTTTTTTTCTTCTTGAGTGAAGGTCCTTTGTTTCTTGAGTCCCGTTTATTTTGTCATGTCTCCTTGCATTTTGGATTTAACATCCATATATCATCCATATATATCCATATATATGTGCTTACCTTGCTCAAAATGATTCCCAAGTGCTTTTTTTTTTTTTTTTTTTTTTTTTGTCGGTTGTGGGGCTTGAGCTCTAGGCCTGGGCACTGTCCCTCAGCTCTTCAGCTCAAGGCGAGCACTCTACCACTTGAGCCACAGCGCCACTTCCAGTTTTCTGAGTGGTTTATTGGAGATAAGAGTCTCATGGTCTTTCCTTAGATCTCACGCTCCAGAGTAACTAGGATTACAGGCATGAGCCACCACACCCGGCTTTCCTATGTGTTTCTTGATCATATAAAATAATTAGCAAAGGTCAAATCCCAGGAAATTAAGTATTTTTCTTAGTTGTTTTGTTTGCTTTTTAAAGTCTTGTTTGTCCATTTATCTGTGGGGTATGCAGCAGCACAGAAATGGAGGGTCAAAGGGTCAACAAATGCAGCAGTGGTATTCACTAGACACTGTTGAAAGTGAATTATACAACTTGTGGGTAGGGATGGAAGGGAAAAACTGGGAGAGAGTGGAAAGAGGGGACATTGTCTACAAATAATAACAATAATAAAGAACAGTTGGCTCGCAAGAAGACAAGTTTTATGAGAGGTCGATTCAGTGGTTTGAAATTTTACAGGTTCAACATCCTTTGCTGGTTGGCTCCACCCAATGCTGGTTCTGCTCTTTGGTGTATATTGGCAGTGTGAGTGATTGGAGCTATTTGCTTCCTAGTGTTTGTTCTGATGGTACAGAGAGGCTCACCCAGAAGAGTAGGAGTGCTTCCTCCGAGGTCCCCTTTTCCTTGCTTGTGTTTGGTCTTGTGCCTTGTGGAATAACTAGCAATGGGAATCCATTACATGTGACACCAGCATGTACTGTCAAGTACTCAGCTTTGCATGTCTACTTCTTGGAGCTGATTAAATATAAACCAAACTTCCAAAACTGTAGGCCTCAATTTGGAAGCATTTCTTGTTAACAACTGAGTAAAAATTAAGCCTGTAAAAAATTAAGTGATTGATGAGGAAACACATAAAGTCAGAGTACTCTTTTTTTTTTTTGTCGGTCGTGGGGCTTGAACTCTGGGCCTGGGCGCTGTCCCTCAGCTCTTCAGCTCAAGGCGAGCGCTCTACCACTTGAGCTACAGCGCCACTTCCGGTTTTCTGGTGGTTTATTGGAGATAGGAGTCTCACAGTCTTTCCTGCCCGGGCTGGCTTTGAACCGCGATCCTCAGATCTCAGCCTCCTGAGTAGCTAGGATTATAGGTGTGAGCCACCAGCGCCCGGCTAGTCATTTGACCAGGCTTTTTCTGTTGACTGGTGAAGCTAGCCAGGATGATGCTGGGATCTCATCCTGCCTTCCCTCCTGGCTCATTTTTTGGTCCATTTTACCTTATTGCCTTTCCATATCTTCCAGTGCATTTCTCTGGAAAAGTATGTCTGAAAAAAGAAACAAAAACTACTCACAGCCAGACACTAATGGCTCAAGCCTGTAATTCTAGCTATTCAGGAGGCTGAGATCTAAGGATCACTGTTCAAAGCCAGCTGGGGCAGGAACATCTGTGAGACTCTTATCTCCAATTAACCACCAGGAAACAGAAGTAGCTCTGTGGCTCAAGTGGTAGAGTGCTGGCCTTGAGCTGAGAGCTCAGGGACAGTGCCCAGACCCACAGTTCAAGACTGACAAACAAACAAAACCACACAATTTTTTTGTGCCTGTCTTGGGGCTTGAACTCAGGGCCTGAATGCTGTCCTTGTCAAGGCTAGTCCTCTACCATTTGAACCATAGCTCTACTACTGGCTTTTTGGTGGTAAATTTTTTTTTAATTACTTCATTGTCCTTTTAGAAGTGATATACAGCCCGGTCACCTTTACATGCATCACATAATAAATACATTTTCTTCCTTTTGCATAATATCATCTATTCCCTCCTTCTCTCCCTTTCCCTCCCTCTTCTCTCTACCCATGAGTTTCTTGGTTCATGTGCAGTGTAGCCCATGGGCCCTGCTGTTGCACTTTTCAGCCATTTCCCGCTGATTCTGTGCCCTCTCCCATATACTACACAGAATATGATGTAAAGAATATAGTCATCAGAAAAAGGAAAAATAAATTGAGAAAAGGTCCTTTGTTTTCTTATCTTTGGAGTTTTTCAGTATGTCTTATTTTATATACATATGAAGAGGTGCTTGAGTATGATAACTTGGTGATTTTCTCATAAGACTCCTCTTTTAGTCTCACTGTATGTGAGTGTTTAGAATCCTGTATAATTTATCATGTCCCATTGCATTTTAAATCTAACTTCCACAAATCAGGGAGAACATGCTCAGTTTCTCTGATCTTGGCTCACCTCACTTCACATGATATGTTTTAGTTCCATCCATTTCCCTGGTAATGACATTAATTTATCCTTTCAAATAGCTGTGTAAAATTCCATTGTATATTACCTTATTTTTTGGATTTATTTATCTATTGTGGGGCATCTGGGTTGTTTCCATATCTTGGTTATTATGAATAGTGCGGCA